CTTCCGCGGCAAACGCCTTTGCCTCCGGGAATCCCTAGCAGCTGCTCCCGTGCGGTTTGTTGGAATGGATTAATTGTTATGCGTGCACGAAGCTGTTTGTCTTCCATCGTGGCAGGACTGAGTAGCAGAATCTCTGCTACTTTTTGTAGTGCTGTGAACTCAGCGTCAAAATCCGACGGTTTTGCCTGGTCTCAGCATATCTAACCAGGAAAGCAGAGGTCTGTATGAGATTGGTGCAGAATCCCTTGACCCGCAGGGAGGTGCGTGTGGGAACCTGTGGCTGGGTGGTGGTTTGTCACCCTGGCTGCCAGACCCCATAGCAGGACAGTCACCAGTGGGAGCATCAGCCCTGCTAGAGCTGTCTGTGCGGTGCCGTGCACGGGTACCGAGGTCAGCATTGCCTGGAGTAAGGCAGCAGGGATGTGAGAAGTGTTTCCTCCTCCCTCCTTCTGCTTTCTTGCTGAACTGATGAGAGCAATTTGAGAGATTTGAGAGGTGTTTTCCTTAGGAGTACAGCATCTGCGTTCAGATGTACTCTGGTGTTTCCATTGCACAACTCTGTGTAAAATTAAAAAAGAAATGGTCTTGGGCAACTGTTGTCATTTACTTCTGGGTTTTTTTTTGGTGAGTTTTGTTTCTGAGTCATTTAGGCTACAGTGTTGCATAGCCTGACTGCTTTCAGGTGTCACAAAAGTGCTCCTACTGAAAACTATTGCACTTTATAGCATTCATGCTGAAGCATCACCTTCAGCTTCTTCAAACCCATCTCAAATTGAAGGCTAGTTGGAGTGTCTGGTAATACTGCCTTCATTCCAGTTGATGTTGCCAGACCGATGTGTTGTTTACATAGGAAAACACTGGTACTGAGATTCTTACACTTTCCTTTAATTAAAGTCATGCTAGGAGATTGTGAAACTATGTAACAGAACTGTCTGGTGAATCTTTACAGTATAGGTGATTGCTATGAGTCCTTTCTTAATTTCTGTACTGGCAAAATAAGACCCTTCAGTATTTTAAACATCAATTTAGAGTAATAAAAGAGCATTGAGGACCACTGGACAGTTATTTTACAGTCTAGATAATATTTTGTTTTTCTACAGTGAATATTTGGCCACAGGAATGTAAGTTTTGGTTTAATCTTCAATCTTAATTAAAGTTTTTTTTTGTGTTCTTAATCATTAATTTGGGTTGATGTTGGTTAATACCAGGGGTTTAATTAACCTGTCCTACTAAATTAAAATGCTATTCGCTTAAGTGAAGCAGAAGCACAGTCCACTGCTTCACGTCTCAATTCAGCTAGAAGGAAAACGTTTTGGGGAACCAATAAATCCAGCAGTTTGCAAAAAGTTCAGCATGTCTCTGTGTGAAATATCTCCCAGTGTGGTTTTACTTCTTTACAGGTTTGGGTTATGCTGACGTAGAGAATCGTGTGATGTGTAAGCCAGAGACCATCATGAGAATCGCCAGTATTAGCAAGTGTCTTACCATGATGGCTGTTGCTAAACTGTGGGAAGAGGGGAAGCTGGACTTAGATGCTCCAGTGCAGAAATACGTCCCTGAATTTCCAGAAAAAGTCTACGAGGGTGAAAAGGTACGTGGTTGTTTAGCAGTAGCACTCTGAGTTTTGTTCCTGCCATTGCACAGCTGTGTATGTACAGCTGTTGTATGGCCTTGTCCTGTAACACACCAGAAACCGTTCAGACAAGTGCTGATGTTTGATGCTTGAAAAAGCAGCACTGGAAGTGTGGATCTTCAATTTTAGAGTGTGTAATGTGTGTTTATTGATGTAGTTTAACTCCTTTTGGTACATGGCGTTTAAAAGGTCTTCCATCTCTGTCCTCGTGTTGGGTTTTACTTTCTCGTGAATCGATGTGCATTTTATTTTTAACAAAGAGAGCTCCCACTGTCCTTTTCTACCCAGGTTACTATTACCACAAGATTGTTAGTCTCACACTTGAGTGGGATTCGTCACTACGAAAAAGATATTGCAAAAGTAAAGGAAGAAAAGGAAAAGGCAAACAGAGCACTTAAACTAACAAAATCCGGCCAAGATAAAGAACAGAAAGAGAAAGATGGCAAAGGCATTGAAAAGACTGACTCTGGCAAGCCAAGGAAGGAACACGAAGGTGAAGTAAAAAACCAAAATTCAAAACCTGGCAGGAGAGACAAGGAGTTTGAACACGAAGAGTATTATTTGAAGGAAAAATTTGAGAGTGTGATTGAATCGCTGAAGATATTTAAAAATGATCCCTTATTCTTCAAACCAGGTGAGTTACTACTGCTTTTGACCAAGGCAAACCTTTCTGGTGATATTTGTTGTTGTTTCAAATTGCTTTGTATTCAGCACAGCTTTATATTCATTAGCATCCCATAAATAGTGTTTGTGTGTTCTGTTTTTGTTCTGTTGTGTGACTTTCTTCCTGTGCTCCACTGAAAGCTTGCTGGAGAAATATTTGGGCTGACCTGCACAAACTGTCCAGTCGTGTAGTTGTCTTCAAGTGCCAGTATTTGTAATGCTTAAACTAATCAGGACTCTATCAGTTCAATTGTTGTTATTTATCTTGTATAGATACCTTAATCAATGCACTGACTTTTAAGAATTTTGCTTAAATGAGTACCTTCTAATGGTGTATCTGCAGCATAACTAAGCAGGTTCAAAATGTGATGGATGGAGATAAGACTTAAAAAGTAATAGGAAGAATCCCAGATGTTGCAGAGGAGATGGGGAGATGAGACCTTGGGTAGAAATCAGACTTTTCTCCCGGTGCTCTGAGTAATGCATTTAAATGCCGATGAAACATTTTAAAGCAGATTATAACAAATTTATTTCTACCAAACATTTTGTAAGCAAGCACCAGCTTGCTGTATTCATGCTCCGAGCCTTCTAGGAATGCACCAAGAGCAATTTTATTGAGGCAGCAGACACAGCTGAAAAATTGTACTGGTAGACCATGGAACCATAGAATTGCTGACATTTGTTTATTGTAGGAATTACATTTAGTTCTGGAGAGGAGATTGAAAAGATTCAAGTGTGAGTTCTAAATGAGTGAGGTTAATAGGCAGATGATATGTACTGCTGATAAACAGTGAAGAGTGCTCATGTAAGAAGAAAGGGATTGGAAGGGGGAGAATCATGGAATCATAGAATGGCCTGAGTTGAAAAGGACTTCAAAGATCATTAAGTTTCAGCCCCTTTGCTGTTGGCAGGGTTGCCAACCAGTGGAATCTAAAACCCAACCATCTTGCAAGGTTCTGAGTGACATTTGGAGTCAGGGATCTGTCTTGACTAGAGGCATTTCATTGAAAACTGTCTCTTGATAAGTGCATGTTTTATAAAGGGTGTTAGCACCAGAGAAGATGAACACTAGGAAATGTTTAAAATAATGTACATGTTACTATTGACAAAATCTTCCAGGATGCTGTAGAACTAAAAACAAAGGACTATTGACATAGTAATAAAAGGGACTCAGGCCCTGGAAAACCTTGAGTGAATACAACTACCCTTGTGTCATAATTTCTGTGGTATGAACACACCAACAGGTCACAGTATGTCAGCATCTCCTAGTTAATATCATGGTGTATTGCAGCACTCCAAATCCAGATATTATTGTTAGAACTGGTGTGGTGAATCTTGTGAAAAAAATGTTAAGTGTGAGTCCTCATGTCTTGGCACGAATCCTGGCTGTACAGGCAGAGTCCTAAAACGGTGTTACAGCCATTCTCAGAGCTACCTGCAAGTGCCTGTCTGCTGCCTCACATCAAATCCTAGGACCCACTGTCATTATTCTGTGACTTACATGGTGTTAAAACTGGAGTGAGGTCCTTACATTGCTGTATGCACTTTGATTTCCACCTGTGATTACTTAAAAGTTGTCCCATAAGCTTCCCATTCAAGCATCACGCAGCTGACTTCAACCCCCTCTTTGTGCTCTTTGTTTCTTTAAGGTAGCCAGTTCTTGTATTCAACATATGGCTTTACCCTCCTTAGTGCTGTTGTGGAGAGAGTTTCGGGGCAAAAATTTACAGATTACATGCTAAAAATGTTCCGTGACTTGGATATGCTGTCAACTGTGCTGGATGACAATGAAGCAATGATATATAACAGAGCAAGGTAAGCAAGAATGAGATTTTATTCTGCTGCTTCTGTGGTGTTCGTTGCTCTTTTTGTCTTTGAGCCAGCTGAATTAAGTGTGTGCACTTTTCTTTTTTGGTCAGACTTTTAAATGGAGTGGGCCATGTTATCTTATGATCTTGTGTCAACATGACACTGTTGTATAAATGTGAAATTACAGAGCTAGAAATAAGATTGGCAGTTATAATTGTGTGTATGGTGGCAGAAGTGGTGGGGGTGACTGAGGAGTTTGCATTTAGGTTGGTTACAGTTAAGCAGGTAAATGTAAATTGGGGAAAACAGAGCAATAAGGACTGAGTTTCTTATCTCTGCCCTTATTTTACTGAGCCACCTGGATGAGCTCTGAGGCTGATTTGTTGATTCACATTTTAAGTTGCTTTGCAGGAGAAAAATTCCAACTGAATCACAACAGCAGGTTATGGCAAGCCTCAGAATCACAGAATCATAGAATGGCCAGGGTTGGAAGAGACCTCAAGGATCATGAATCTCCAACCCCTTGCCACATGCAGGGTCACCAACCTCCTCATTTAATGCTAGACCAGGCCTCAGAACAATGAGGTTCAACTTAGAAGTGTGGGTTTCAAAGTGCTGTAAAAGGGTGGAAGTGGGTATGAATGTACTGGATCCAAGTTTTATAGTACTTGTGTGTGAGTGTATATTAAATGTTGTTGTTACATAGTGTTGTTGCTAACAACAGTAGCAGCTGGTAATCTTTCAAGGGTAGCTTTACTGCTGTATTCTAAGATGCTTTGTGTAGTTACTTTGCTTGCAAATATTCAGAGGTTCTCCAGCTATTTGTAGATCTGGATTCTAGTGGTCTTGTGGATTATCAGGCTGCTGTAGTCAAGTTCCTTTTGATATGCAAGTGTATAAACAAGTCTATAAACTGAAATATGGCAGAGATAAAAGAATTAGGACAGGTGCTGTTTCATGGTCTTTTTATGGCTTATTTAAGGAACATTAGGATGCTCGTGTGATGGTTTTTGCCTCCACATACAGCTAGCTTGATGTCTCAGACTGAAAAGTACTGAGAAGTTGTGGTTTGTTTAATGGTTTGCTTTTGCTGTATCTCACTAAGACAAAAAAAAAAAAAAAAAAAAGGGCTTAAAACTTTACATCTTCATGATATTTTTTAGAGTTGCAAGTCAAGCATTCAGCATCTTTGTAACGAGTTATGTTGTGACTGAAAAAATGAGTGTAGGGACACTGAGATATGCAGGTTACCAGCAGAGCTGATAGTAGTCTTGGACCATTTATCTTTCCTTGCTTCAGCCTCGATTTTCAGTATTGGCTCTTTCAGAAGTTCCCTAAATATTTGCCAGTATACATGTTGACCAGATAGAGGATAAAAGCATGTACAGCATGTAATGCCTAGAGTAGGCTTGCTGCTTCTTTTTCTTCTCCTTCTTTTTCTTCTCCTTCTTTTTCTTCTCCTTCTTTTTCTTCTCCTTCTTTTTCTTCTCCTTTTCTTCTCCTTCTTCTTCATGTGATTCATTTCCACAGCTCTTTAAGCAGTCTGTGGATTTACTGTGCTTGAAATTCATCAGAATGTATAGATATGCAACAGTGCTTTTCATCTGCTGTATGAAATGCACCCATTCATGAGTGTACCATTTCAAAAGCATAACTCTGCCTGTGCTGCTGTTGTGTTCTTTATTCCAACTGGAATTTATACCAATTCCAGTTGGTAGTTTTAATTTTGTATTTTAATGACAGGTTTTGCAAGACTCTCTTTCCTGCTTGCTTTGTTAGTTTCAGGATATTGAGTTGTATGTAGTAACCCTAATGGAGCAAGGGGAGAAGTTAATCACAGATGGAAGCTACTGGCTCAGAATAGTCTGTAAGGCTTTGGTGAAGTTTCAGCTGGGTCTCAGATAACTGCAGGGTAGCAGCAGGATTCCTCTTTCCTGAAACACTTTTGAAATCTAGTACAGGGATTTGAGAGAAGTCCTGTGCTGGCTGATCTACAGGTTTCTGTCCTGTCTCTTGTTCTGTTGCCTTTACTCTTAGTGTGCCCTAATAATAAGTAGAAGGATTGGTGCTTCTGTTGAAATGAAGCTTCTAACCTTTTTTTTTTTTTCCATTGAATTTTTGTGTTGATTTTTCTCAAATAAATAAAATAATTAATTAATTAAGGAAAATATATTTTGAACAAGACAACATTTTCATGAGAACAATTTCACACGTGCTCAGATTGCCCTGTTAAGGTAGTTGTTCAGAATATCTGAGATGACAAGTTGAATGTTCTTGAATTCTAGGTGTTACGTTTACAACAAAAAGGGACGTCTGGTGAACGCACCGTATGTGGACAACTCTTACAAGTGGGCTGGTGGAGGCTTCCTGTCATCAGTAGGTGACCTTCTGAAATTTGGAAATGCCTTGTTGTACAGTTACCAAGCTGGACAATTTAGAAACAATAATAGGAAGCTTCTGCCTGGGTACCTGAAACCAGACACAGTTGCAATGATGTGGACCCCAGTGCCAAAAACTGAAGTGTCGTGGGACAGGGATGGTAAATATGCCATGGCTTGGGCTGTAGTAGAGAAAAAACAACAGTATGGCTTTTGCAGGCGGCAGAGGCACTATGCATCTCATACAGGTGGTGCAGTGGGTGCAAGCAGCGTTCTCCTGATTCTTCCTGAGGAGTTGGACTCTGATGCTGAAGATACTGCAGAAGTGGCACCACCTAGAGGAGTAATTGTTAGCATTATCTGTAATATGCAATCTGTTTCCCTCAACAGCACTGCCTTAAAGATTGCGAGGGAATTTGATAAAGAAAAACAGGCACAATATATAGATTAAAAAAAAAAGAGATGAATAATTGAACTTGAAATAAGTTGAGTAAGTGAACGTGAAAAACAAATGGAAACGGAGATCAAATTGGGCCCTGAGATCCCAAAGGACAGGTGAGGAAAAAGCATCAACACTTCACTGAAATTCTGCTAGTGGTGCCACGTTTAAGTGTACTGGAATTCATCTCTCAGGGAAGCTCCTTACAGGAAAGAAGAATGTAACAAGCAAATTTGACTTCCTGTGTTAAATGTGTAAATTATCATTTTAGTAGCGAGGCTTTTTCCTCATCCAGTTTTTTGACCAACATTCAAAAAATAAAAACAAAACAACAGCGGCCGAACAAACAGAGGTTTGCTTTCTCCTATTGAGTACAACAGCAGATTATCTGCCTTCAGTGCTAAACTGTTAAAAGACCTAATTCATTATTCTCAGTTCAGATCTGTGAAAACAGTAAAATCAGATGACTTTACTGTTGACAAAATCTGTGTTTTTACATACAACTTTTTTAAAATTTGATTAAAAAGCAAAAAACAAAACTACCTCTGGGATGAAGATTTCCATCAAGTGCATTTTTGTCAGAGTTGTGTATTGCTAAGAATTGGAAAAGAAAGGGCATAGAGTCATGTGTGTAAAATAATTTTATTTCGATATTCAATGCCATTCTTTGTTAGACATAAAACCTGGCATTACTGTACTGTGGAAATAAAGGTGTTATTTCACATGTACCTGAGCAGCACAGCACAGTGAGCTGTCAGACAGCCTTACTGCTGGATGAAACATGTGCTAGCTTTGGTAGCAGTGGTTGTAGCCAACAGCTGGAAATGGCACTGTATTCTGGAACGTAGATTTTCCTTTTGTTCAGGAATTAGGAACTAAAATAACTCAGTAAAATTTCAAGTCCATTCTCAAAGCCAGTAGTAGAAATCCGATGCACTTTGAGGTTTTGTTTGTTTGTCTTCCCCAAACCATCCTTTTTTCTATTTCGGACATCTACCTCATTGCATTACTTTTGCACTGAACAAGAAATTCTGGCAGACTTCCAAATAAGCAGTATCTAATCTTCATGTTTTCAATAGAAACACAGTAACAGCTGATTATGTTTATGTGATGTATTCCATCATGGCGTGCACGATCTCTGTGATCTCCAAGATTCCACTTCCCTGCGGTTACATCAGGCAGTATTTCCAGGTTGAGATGAAACAAACCATCCTGCAGAAGGAATTCTACTGCTCGAGTCCCTGCACTGTTTAGCAGTTCTGCCTCTGAATTTAAGGAGCAAAATGTTTTGAGTTACAGTTGAAAGAAGGTAGCCTTACCTTCATCTTTCCCAAGCTAGAGTTTTTAGTATTAACATCATACTGCTACTTGCCATGTGATGCAGTGCCATGTTGTCAGCTCTGTTACCATTATGCCTGTGAATATTTTTTGTCTGACAAATGAAGAAATGTATTACTTGAGGTGTCAGTGCTTTACCTGCACTGGCAGTAGGGGGCTGCTTTAGGACTCTTTATAATTATTATTTACTGTGCCTTAAAACAGTAAAAGCTTACAAACTGTTTGCTTGGCTTTTCTTGCCCACAAAAAATTTACTTCCATATTCATGAGTGATGGAACAAGCTCATGTGGTGAGGCAGTATATTCACCTACACTCACTGAGGTCTTTAATGCTGTTTGACAATTCAAGACAGAGGTTCTGGAGATGAACACCTACAATGGCAACATTGCTTTTTGAAGTCTTGAGCACCTGCTAGCTGGCTAAGCGTGCAGCAGCAGAAGTCATTGCCAATTTTCCACAGGGAACAAGAGTAGGTAAGTAGTTCTGCATTGCTTTAATTGAAGAATATGTGAATAGAAGTTCACAAAACAAAATGTTTTACTTACGGAAACCCTAAAAAGTAACACTGCTACTTTAGGATTATGACGCATTTATTTTGTGAATGGCATTTAACATTCTTGAAAACCATTTTGTGTATTTCAGAGACAAGTTTCACTAGCTGACCATAGTGAGAGAATTTAGATAAAAACTGAGCATGCAGAAGGGGTAGGTCTTGTATTATGCCTATGTATGACCAGACAGTAATCATAGAATATCCTGAGTTGGAAGGAGCCCGTAAGGATCAGTGAGTCCAACTGCTGCCTCACACAGGACCACCCAAAAATCAGTCCGTGTGTCTGAGAGTTATCCAGTCACATCCTGAACTCTGACAAGCTGGGTGCCATGAGCACTGCCCTGGGCAGCCTGTTCAGTGCCTGACTGTCCTCTAGGTGAAGAACCTCCAACCTGACCCTCCCCTATTGCAGCTGCTTGCTGTTCTCTTGGGTTCTATCACTGGTTACCACCAACACCCTGGAATGAATTCCTTTGGACATACAAGTGTTTGAAGTACATAAGAAAGTGAATAATGAAGTGTCTTAAGGTACTTTTAACACTAAGATATTTGTGACAGTATCCCACTCCCCTGGTGGATTGATTAGCCACCAGCCTTCTGTATGCAAAGACCACGTAGTTTTTACATCCTATAACTTAAGACTCTGAAGGTCTACAGTCAGCTATGTAAAATGTGAGAATGTTAGGAAGTTTACATTTCATCTTCCAACACATGTAGCAAAATGTGGCACTAAGTTTCTCTGATATGGCACTTAATCACAAATCTTACATCTTTCTGTGTTGGGTAGAGGTAGGAGGAGAGCAGAAATGGGGGAGACAAGGCATCAGTCTGACTTAGCACCAATGGCCAAGTCACAGTATTGCTGTCATCTTTAGTGTGAAGCCACTTATTTGATGCATTGGCATTAAGTATAGAAAACTGGTCAACTAAGAGCAACTTAGGTGACTAACACGTTCTTAACTTTTACTTTGCAAACAGTATGGCACAAACATGAACCTGTTCTGTTTGTATGCATGCTAAATTTGTGCATCTGTTTCTGTGTCAGACACCTGCTTCTTACATCTGCTAATTATCAGTGTTCTCTATTAAGAGAAATAAAACAGCTTGCAAATGCACTGAATTGCAATATCAGGTGTTTTCTTAATTAACTAGAAACATATAGTTTTTTTTTATCATAAAAATGAAACAAATTCCCAACAGTAATGAGCTCACCAAGACAGGTGATACTTTAAAAGAGATGATGCTGACATATAACTTAAAATTTTAAGTAGTAGTAAAACAAGATGTGTGTAAGATGGCGTGTCTAAAGGGCTTACCATGGTATTAAAAATAAATCTCTGTTTTTTAGCAACCCTTTAGAAGGGGATGGCTTTTAAAAGCTAATTAAAAACCAGTTTCCTCATTGCAAAAGGGTAATGATTAAATTTCAGTACTTAATACTGTTGCTTGTATGCCATGTGCTTACACTACCCTCACTGCTTTCAGTATTTTGTGAAATGATTTAAATACTTTTCTTTTTTTTTTTTTGCATAGGAATCTCAGTATAGAATGTGGAGTGCAGGTTGTAGACCAGATTAGAGAGAGGGAAAACCAGGCATTCCAGAATAACACCTGAACACGTGTGAGTAATTTTGCATCTGAGAAATAACTATTACCACAGAGTAAGGGGACCAAAGCCATGCTGAAACAGCTGAGCTGCATGTCCTTTTTAAACCTGTCCAGCCTTTGTAACCATTTCCACTGAAGCAACCACAGCATTCAGTTATACAAAATGTATTCTTAGTGCCGACTGTCACCATATGGTTTACCGTGCTGATGATTAACAGAAAGAAGGATGCAGTGAGTCCAAGGTTCAGATTTTTATATTAAATGACACCACCCAATTATAAAACTTATAAACTTACTGTTTAAAGCTGTAAAAATAGAGCTCAACTGTCAGTGACTTACAGGGAAAAAAAAAAATGCACTCCAAACCATTTATTGAAAAAGATTCCAGCTGATCAGTCACCAATGGTGTGTCATTTTCACAAAATCAGTCATAATTACATTGTTACATCAACAGGCATTTTTTTTAACAGGTAAGGCTTTCAGGAACACAGATCCACTGCTGTATGCTGAAGAGACTGTTCAGTGTTGCTTTCTTCTAAATGAACAGCCTGTAAAGAAATCACAAATACAAGCAGCATTACATTGCTAGACTACCTTGAAAAACTGCTCATCCAACTCAAGCTGGAAACTTGCGTAGTAAATCCATTGAACTTTATGTACCACAAGAGCTAACCAACTTTGAGTCTACTCTAACCCAGTCAGAATTGATCTCATTGTAGGCCTCACATGTACTGTTGGTTTTTTTTGTATTGTTTTGTTTTCCAGATGCCTTTAAAATTTCAGTCTGTTGTTCTAATCTCTAGTGGTAGAAACCCTAAAGTGAAACAGCTGCTAGGACTTCTTACACATTTCCAACTGCTCAACAGCCTCATTTCAGGTATTCTGTCTTCCTATCAACTTTATATAGCAGTATGTGGTGCAAGGACTACTATGTATAATTTGCATATATAATTACATTTCATCCTTTAAATGTAAGGTGAATGAAATCTGGATTCATTTTTTAAATTGCTTTTAACCTTCATCTGTTTCCAATGTTTTTCATATAACTTAGGCACTGGGTTACATTTCAAGATACCAGTGCTATACCAGTTATCTCTATGTATGTGTGTGTGTGTGTATTAGCAGGTTATTTGTTCTTTTATACTTTATACAAGCATTTTGACTACGTAATGTGAATCGGGGATTGCCTTACAGTACCACTGTTTAAAAATAAACAAGCAAGCCACCACTGACTAGCAGTGGCATGGCATTACTTTAAGCTTGCCATGCCTCTAAACTTAGTTCAGAATTGAATATCCTGTATCTGTTAGTTAGGCTGAAGGAAGTTACAGGTCACTGAATCTAAAATTGTTTCTGATCAAAATCTAGCTCTGAACTCCCTGGCCTATCTACTTAGCCATTATAAAACAACAAAACATTGCATAAAACATTGTAAATAGGCCCCAGCTTGCAAGTTTTTGTTGTTTTTTTATAATAATCAGCTAACACTCAGCAATATGAAGAATAAACTTTCCAGTACTAGTTTTCAAAAATCAAAGCTAAGAGATCTGCAGGCTGTAAGTCCACAGATGTGCAGTTTTAATTGTAATGTTCAGATTGCTTAAACGTTTCTCCTTACCTTCTGTGAGCCTTGCTTTTCCCCCAGTAGGCTGACACAGAATAGTTGAGCAGCCTACACACAGAACCACTGTCTGAGCATGGCTGAACACAGTGGTGATCTTGTAGCATCCTGCAAAACAGCATTGTTAAATTTTCTATTGAGTATTTTTAGTATGTTTTTAATTGTATGTGTAATTGAATCAGATACCCTAAGTACACTTGTTCAAGACTAGATGAGTATTACATTACAAAGTATACCAAATAAAACTTAGCATGAAATACTCACATGCTTTTACTAGCATGCATAGCAAGCACATTAGCTAACTGAAACTAGTATGCCTCTCCCATGATAATCATTAACAGAATCTGTTGGCTAGCAGGTCCTCGTGTACCTGTAGTATGTATCCTGCAAGAAGTAGGAGCTGGGTGCTTTACCTTTGTTCTAGACCAGCCTTACATAGAGAACTGGTTATTTGTTGGGGGAGAACATTGCTGGTGATGAAGCCTGGCAGCTGTGAACATAAGCACTGCTGTTCAAGGCTGTTTGCTTTCTGTTAATCATTAGTATACATACAGCATAGCTGTATTGTCCAGGGCTAGCACCACACTGACACCACAAGGCTGGCACAGAACAGCTTCACTGCAGTCCAGATTCAGGAAGAGGGATCAGGAACACTTTGAAACTTGTACAGCTCGAAGAAAACATAAAATCAACTTCATACAAGTCTTAGACAAGAGGATTTTCACACCTTATGGTACTCTCATTGTAAAGAATTTTTAACTGTTTAGGAGGAATGGGAGGGATATTTGATCTTCAGGTGGATACAGAATAGAGACAAACAGAATGATGAGCACAGCCACCATTATCAGAGTATGTGGCCTGAAGAGGATAAAATAGAATGTATTGTGAGAAAGGTACTCAGGAACCTCCCTCACAATCATAGAATCACAGAATCATAGAATGGCCTGGGTTGAAAAGGACCACAATGATCATCCAGCTCTAACTCCCTGCTATGTGCAGGGTCACCAACCAGCAGACCAGGCTGCCCAGAGCCACATCCAGCCTGGCCTTGAATGCCTGCAGGGATGGGGCATCCACAGCCTCCTTGGGCAACCTGTTCCAGTGCCTCACCACCCTCTGTGTGAAAAATTTCCTCCTAATATCCAACCTAAACCTCCCCTGTCTCAGTTTAAAACCATTCCCCTTGTCCTATCATTATCCACCCTGTAAACAGCCGTTCCCCCTCCTGTTTATATCATTCCTTCATGTATTGGAAGGGCACAATGAGGTCTCCCTGGAGCCTTCCCCAAGCTAACCAAGCCCATTTCCCTCCACCTTTCCTCGTAGGAGAGGTGCTCCAGCCCTCTGATCATCTTAGTGGCCCTCCTCTGGGCTCATTCCAAGAGTTCCACATCTTTCTTGTGCTGGAGGCCTGGATGCAGAATTGCAGACAGGGCCTCACAAGAGCTGAGTAGAGGGGGACAATCACCTCCCTCTCCCTAGAGAACTTGCATTTGTGTAGTTTGGTGTTTTTTATTTTTGTTTTTTGAAGCCAACACTGCATTTTCCAATAGTTTTGATGATTCTACCTCATTTTTTAGATGGAAAAGGGTGTCTGAGAGCTTCTTAGAGATCTAAACTACCGAGATAACAAGAAAACAGCGCAGCACCAACTCCTTACTTCTGGTAGGATATCGCTACTGCGAGTCGACGCATTTTCTACTGTTTTCTCACTGTTACAGCTTCCTTACGCTGCAGCAGCGTCTGCGAGATACGTGGCAGCATTCGCTGATTTCCGTGGCATCCTTCTGCCAGAACACGCGCTGCTGGAGCCGATAACGGTGAAGGCGGTTACGTGACGTTTGTGAGCCAAAAGCGAGGTGTGACAGGCAGCACCTGGGACAGCAGCCCGACCCGCACGGGCAGCGCAGGACCGCGGCCGTCCCGGCAGCACGCAGCTCATCCCGCGCCCAGCTGCGACCCGCGGGCTGTTACCTGGGCACTTGACGTCCATGAAGTAGGAGTTGGGGCTCTGCACCAAACGCTTCTTCTTGTGCTTCCTCCTCTCCTCCTCCAGGGAGGGGTGCAGCAGGTCCCTGGCCAGCTGGGTAGGACGGAACGTCGCGTTACACAAACGCCCCCCGGCCGCCCCCCACCCCTCCGCGCCCCCGGCGACTCACGGGCATGTTGTCTGCGCGGCCTCCCGCCGACAGCTGCTCTGGCCGCCCGGAGGACTCGGCTCGATGGTGCGGGGGGGGCGGGGCGGGGCCGGGCCGAGGGGCGGGGCGCTGAGCGGCGTGACGCTGTGGCGGCGGGTGGCCGCCGAGTGGCGGAAATGGCGGCTGGGAAAGGCCTTGTGCCGCCACATCCCTTGTGCAGCGGCTGACGCGCTTCGTAGAAGCTGTTGTGGGCATTTACTGCGAGCTGCAGATTTCAGAGGTGTGCATCAAAGCTGCCACTGTGCACAAACGCCTCCTTCCCCGCCCCAGCCTGCTGTTACTCCGTGTTACAGAGCCGCGGGCCGTTCTGTTAGCTTTCCTCTTCTCCATCACAGCCATCGCCCTGTGAGGCAAATACTTCGTTAGTGCATCTCGTTACTCTCCGGCGTGCTGGTGACTCGCGTATTTTGCAAGGCCTTTCTTGCTGTATCATGGGGACATCAATCTGCAGGGCTGTGACTCGCGCTGCCCAGTCCCCGCCATTACCGGCACGGCACTGCTCAGCTCAGCTCAGCTCAGCACTGCTCAGCTCAGCACAGCTCAGCTCAGCACAGCTCAGCTCAGCTCAGCTCAGCACTGCTCAGCTCAGCACAGCACGGCACAGCTCGGCACAGCCGGCTGATGGCCTTCAGGCTCCTCCTGCCACCCGGCCTTCTTGAAATGAACGTGTTTTATTACGCAGAAGAGAGGAACTGGGCTGATCGGCTCAAAGTCTGAGAGAGATTTATGGTTTTCTTTGGTTAAGAAAAGGACTTTGTGTATGCAACACCACCAGCACAATATAAAAGTGCTGTCCTCTCTCACCTCTCCCCTTTTCAGCCTCTGTGCTGCAAGGAGCTGTGCTGCTGGGTGAAAGCTTCGGATTCACGGGTTACATGAAACATTAGTTTCTGTGGCAGGAGAGACGCACAGGATGGTGATCCGAAAACAGGATGTGTTCAGGGCACATCCGTCTGGTTCTCTATTTTGATTGTGCTTGGAGATTCATTTCCTTTTCACAGCTGCCTGTGGCTTAGCAACCTGCTGAATGACTCGGTGACCATGCATCACCTTTGATCTTGTGACAAAAAGGGTGGGGTTTTTTTTGGAAGTGTAAGGTTTGGAAAACAGAAATGCAGCGCTGAGTTTGGGTTGCAGGAGAGAAATGCAGTCTGTTTTGGGTGGGTTTGTACTGCAGGGTTTCAGCCTGCAGAGACTCAGACTCAGGCCCAGGAGAGTGACCTGCCCTTCACAGCCTTCAGTAAACAACGACTTCCATTCCATTTTTGAGAATGTCAAACCTTAAAAGTGGCAGAGTTTACAGATCAGAGTCATGCAATGCTTTCCCTTTCTGGAACTGACCTATACCTACCTTAAGTAATGACTTAATTTAGCCCGTTGTAGGAAGTTCTGCAACATAAACACATGGAAAATTTGAACAATTAGATTGCTAGCATAAAGCGGAGCACTGTTCTTCATGAAGACCAAAACAAATCTATGCACTGATCTCATTAAAACTGCATCTTAAAAGCAGAGCATATCAACGTATCAGATGAGCATAGAAGTATATATCTGCAAGGAGAGATTTATTTACTGTAACTGGGGAATAAGTGACTTTGTTTAAAGGAGTGTCACATGTTGGTCATCAAATAGTTGTAAATGGCAGAAGCATCTGCCAAAACCACAGCTGTTAAAGATATATCTCAAGAATATGGTCATATTTGCTATCAGGTGTCCCAAAGCTGAGGAACAAAGTTCGTGTTAATAATTTTCAGCTGCATGGCATTCTGGGAAAGACTGCTTCTTATCTTTTGTAGGGCTTGGACCTGTAGGTTCCAAGTGGTGCCAAAAATACCAGGATCTTGGTTCTACCAATGTTTCACTCTATTGTTTTTAGAAACTATCTCTCAAAACAGTTAAGACTTGGAATTTCCTGGTTTGGTACACACTGAACAGAAGAGCTTGATCAGAAGATTTTCACGCCGTTCTATTTGCATTTAGCTGGTTTTATCTTCAAACAGAGGGGAAAAAAGATTTTTGAAAGTTACCTATCACGTGAGAAAGTAAAATGAGAGTGGGAACGAAGGAGCAAGTCTGTCATCTGTTACTGTCCTAAAAATGTACCTGGTGGTAAACTAGTCAAGTATTTTCCTTTTTTTTTTTTAATTGCGTGTAAAGATTGTTGCATTTATTTCATATGACTAGAGGAATTAATTGCATTTTGTTATTCATACCGGTGCATTTCTTAAACTGAATGCTTTACCAGATGCACTGTACATACACCTCAGTGACTAATGGAATTCTGCCTTACCTGCATGAGCTGAAACTGCTGAGTTTCAGCAGAGGCATTCACCAAATTACAGCTGTTATGTAGGCTTTTTGAAACATTTTAAAGTTGTGTTTTGTTTGACATCTGAACATCAACATCACAGCCTCGTAGCCAACATTTTGTCAACACTGTTTGGTGCTGTGTGCTTTAGCACAGTGACAAAAGGTAAACTATAATGTCAGCCACTTTGTGGCTGTTCAGTGTTCCTCATAGTGGTTCTCCTATGGCAGGATAACATAGAAAAAGTTCACTTACAGTTGATCTATTTGACTACAGTGCATCATAAAACAAATGTTGTCCTTTGCAGTTCAGTGATCGAACCAAGACTGGTTTCAAAGCATCTTCATGGACAGTGGGTTGGTTTGGTAGGACCTCCCAGAGTTTGACATACTGTAACACTGTATGTTTCTTTGAGTGTCTTAGAAAATTTTAAAAATAGCTTTCATTTTATATATATAATATTTATATATTTAAATATATAATATATATATTTAAGGTAATGTTAAAGGTCATGGTTAAATAAACATCTGCCCTTTGAATGTGGCATACTGGCACTTTTCCACATCACAACAGAATGCGATATTGCAAGGCACCAGTGTAATTAAAGAGAAGAGTAATTTGCATTATTTTCCTATAAAACTACTCTTGGGTAACAGATGGCAATCGCAAACATACTGCTCCAGAGACATATGGAAACCTATTTGTTCCACCAAACTCAAGAGTGAATATTAACCCCCAAACCACTCTCTTCATTGCTGAAATATGACGTCGTACTCCTCAGTAAAGCCCTCACTACTGTACTCATGAGCAACTCCTGCCTCTGAAAATGGAGATCTATGGAAACGTTTCAGAGGTTGGTGTTTCATTTGCAGTTTCCTATAATCTGATGATTCGCGTTAGTCTGAATTAACTGATAGCTGGGTTTGATTGCCTCAGTTCCAGGCTGCCATTATCACTTAAATCTTGTGTTAGGCACTGTCATGGCCCAACTCAGTGTGTAAGTGCCGGGTCCCAACTCAGGCCCTACATGAAGGAGCCAAGCAGGCGGATTGGCAAATTCCATCTTGAACAGGGCTGAGCTCTACAGAAAGCAACGAATGGTTTCTTCCCCCCAGCCTTGTTCTGCTGCCTTCGTTCAGCCCGCTGGGCGATGTCAGGGATGGGATTTAGGGATGCTAACCACTCTGTTGGTCTTCAAAACTAATTCTCAGCATAGGTGGGTCGCTCCGAAAGTAATGCTTCCTATTTATTGCCCTGGAAGCGACAGCAGCTACAGAGAGCACAGTAACCCTGTTGGATAGAGCCAACCCTCAGCTACAGCACGCTGTTTCTCAACGCACTGCCGCCATTAGCTGCGTGTTTGAGCACTGGCACTGCCATTTGTAGCATTAGGGTTTTCTGTTCGTAGTTTGCCTGGAGACAGCGATTCTTAAATTAAATTAAACCAAGAGCTCCTCGTGTCATTGCGAAGCGTTTGCAGTAGCGTTACTCGTTTTTACAGCGCCTTGCGACGCCTCTGCGAGAGACCTCACAGCCAGCACGTCGCGAGGCCGCCTCACACGGCGGAGGAGCTGTCAGCGGGAAACGCGCGGAGCCGAGCGGAGCGGAGCGGGGCGCAGCTCGTTGCCACGCACCGACACGCGGTACCACGCGGCACGGCGCGCGGACTGCAGCTCCCATCGGCCCCCGCGGCGCCCCCCGTGATGCGCGCGGTGCCCGCCGGGCTGGGCGCGGCGGAGAGGCGGGGCCGCGTTCCGTCCCCTCCCCGCGCCGCCTCGGCCGCCCCCTCCGGCTGCGGCGCCCGAGCGAAGATGGCGAAGACGTACGACTATCTGTTTAAGCTGCTGCTGATCGGGGACTCGGGCGTGGGCAAGACCTGCCTGCTCTTCCGCTTCAGCGAGGACGCCTTCAACACCACCTTCATCTCCACCATCGGTAAGGGGCCGAGCGGCTCCTCGGGGCCCCGCGGGCGGGAGGCGAGCAGGGAGGGGCGGGGGGGCCGCCGGGGCAGGGCCTGAGCGGCAGCCTTGGGGCCGTTAGGGCCGCGGGGGGCTCCGCGCGGAGGAGCCGCCGCCCCGGGGCCGGGCGCTGCCCTGCCCTGCCCTGCCCTGCCCGCCGTTCCGTGCCCGGCGCCGCGCGGGTTCCCCCGCTGTGAGGGGCGGCCGCGCCCCGCCGCCCTCCGCCCCTCCGCCCCGCCGCTCTGTGCGCGGGCCGCGGCCGCATCAACAGTTGGGCCGGGGCTCGGACGCATCGTTCCGGCCCCTGGCTGGGGGGAGGTTGCGGTCCGTGGGAAGCGCGGCCCGGGGGCGGAACGCGGCGCTGCGGTAACGGGATCGCGGAGCGAGCGGGCTGTGAGCCGTCGTGTCGCTGCGGAGCGTTTGGGGTTTGTGTGCGGGTTTCCGGAACGTGGAAGAAGGCCCCGAATGCCGGAGCCGTCGCGCGTGCAGAGGCAGCTCCCTGCCAAAAACGGAGGGTGCTTTCTGAAGCTCGGCCGATCCGCTTTGGTGAGGTGTCAGGCGCTGCCGCTCTGACAGGACTTCTTGCTCAAACAAACGTAAGCGGGATTTTAAAGTTCGGAGATAATGCTGCAATGGAGCTCAAGAGTTGTGCTGACTGCTCGTAGCTGGGATTGCTTTTGGGAATAAAACCGAGCTTCCCTCTGCGAAGGAAGGGGTGAATTGCAGCAGTGTGTGTGTTCAGCACTGCAACGCTGCTGCTGCTGCTGCAATTGAAGAGTAACGCTGAGATAAGGTGTGAACTCTTCTTGCAGTAAGGAAATGGAGGCACGGAGCTGAAGCAACACGTGGCTTCTTGTTTCTCCCTGCCTGCTCTTCGCAGCCCTGTTCAGCCCTGTTCCATAACAGCAGCCAGCAGAGATCGAGCAGCAGCTTACCTGGAAAGGCACTTGGCTCTGTGTGGTAGATCCGAAGTCTTAGACCTTAATAAGTACTGTGCAGGATTCCAAGAAAGCCTACAGCAGTGTCATACTTCTCATACATGGGAAGAGATGGCTGACATAAATGGTGTCCTCCATGCATCTCGGTGGTTCTTGAGCTGCTTTGCTTCTTGGTGTGGTTCTTTTTCTGTCTCCCTGATTCACTTCAATGTCTCAAGGACTGCAAGTATGATTCTTTGTTTCCTAACTTACTCAGTTATGCAGGGTCTGTTCTCTTCTTCCTGAACGCTTGCTTTTACGAGGGTCCTGTTATTAGCAGTAATAATTTTAAGAAAGTTGGAAATTGAGATGTACTTCTGGTTCCGCAGGTGGTAAATGTCACTTCATTTCAGTTGCATTTTCCTACTGTTTGCTATCCTGTTGTTTTTTAGCAAAGCACCTACCGGGAGGAGAGTTGGCAATGCAGGAAATAGTGAAACTGCTCATACAGAGTGCTTGCATGCTTAAATAGAAGTATTCTTTTATTTTTTTTCTCCTTCTGTATTCCTCACGGGTAGCCTGTATCAGTTTTGGTTCAGTCATGTAGATCTAATCTGTGTGTTCTCATAGGTGCTTTTTCTTTATCCAGCATGGGGGCAGTGAGTTCGTGCTGGCTGGTCAGAGCCACTCGATTTTACCATCATGGCTGATAACATCTGATGTGCTTCAGGGAAATCTGTCTGTAACGGTGCTGAGTTTATTCCTTGGTGGATAGAGCGCAGGCTGCTGTGGTGGAGGGAGCTGCGGGGAGGTGATGCTCCTGCTGGTTGAAACTCTGAGGTCCCCAGATCAGCGCTCAGAACTCAGTACGCTGCTTCTCACTGTGATGGAAGCCACCAGGCTGTGGGGTTTGTGGCTTCTCCAAAAAGTGGATGGGACTTCCTGTGAAGATATGCATTCAGCTCACAATGATTTTGATGAGTACGCACTGTATTGTGTGCTCTCAGAGGTGCCCTCCTTTCTTTCCTGACCCATGTTGCTCCTGGCAGGGCCGGAGTTCCTTTAACTTTGGAGGTCTGAGAAGGCAGCGTATGCGTGAGGTGTTTTGGATCTGCCTTCCTCTCAGCGGTCTGCGAGAGGTGAGGCAGTCAGAGGCTTTCTTCACTGTGTGCTGTTCAACTTGTGGTCGTCTTCTGTCTTGTATTGTACATCTGCTCAGAAATCAAAGCAGTGCTATGGTGGAAGGGCCTGCAAAACATCTAAGCACCAAATGTCTTCTAAATGTATTTGTTCTTATTGTTGTTTACTAGCTTCAGTTACAAGAGCAATGGAAACTTCTTTCACTGGGAAAAATGGAAATGCTGTTTTACTTTGGAATATTTGAATAACTTAGGCTCAGTGTTTGTTACAGAGATGAACTGTAGTTACTCTGTTTTTGCTTGGCATGCTTGTGTTGTAGATCTGAACAACATGTTTTGCAGATTCTCTTCTCTTCTGCAGTCATGCAAAGCAAGCCTTTCAGGCTAAATGCTTGTAAATTGCTTGGAGGTTTGCAAATGATCCCCTTGACTTTGCTACTCAGGCTTGTTGTAGTGAAGGCTGCATGGTTTCAGACAGTAAGGGCTTCCAGCCTGCTGCCCTGTGGCCAATAGTTGCGTGGGGAGTAGGATATGAATGCAGTGCAGATATATTTATTATAATATATTGGTCCTTTTTGTTTTTAAAGTGCCTCGTGGCTCGAGAGTGTCTCCTTGTCTTGAGTACTTGGGGTCACCGATATGGTTAGCAGACTGCCATCAGTATGAGAAGTGAACCACTGGTCTCTTTTCTTAGGTAATCCTTTGCGTTACTCTACACTGCTGGGGCTTTGCTTGTGGTCAGCAGCTTTGTGTATTTTTACACAGGGCTTTGTAGCTCTGTTTGGAAACCCTCTAAAAGAATTGACAAGTCGTAAGGGTGCTGTGCTCCCTGGTGAGGATCAGCATCTCGTCGTTAACATGGGATGAAACCTTCACCACTGGAAACATGTTATGTAAGGTTATGTTATTTAGTTTGCTTCCTGAGTGGAAAGTTCTGCTTTCACACAGTTCTGCATGGAAAATAAAGAGCAGTTGTCAGCTATTTTTCGTACTTGAACACCTCCTAAAGCAAAACTTTATCTTGGAGTATCTGGCATGAATTTTGTTAGTATTTTCAGTGTGGTGCATGAGAAGAAGGAGCATTAATTTCAAAGTCTCTGCGTATCCCAACTTGCTGTTTAAGGAGTGCTGGCTGGTAAAACTGGATTGGGTTTATCATTCCAAATAATAAGGTCTATTCTTTGTGTCCCTTTCAACTTCTTATTTAAGCTGTTTTCTCTGGGAGTGAAGTTGTATCTCTTAGCTGATAGCTTTTCTGCCTTTGTACAAGGGCTTGCTGACTGAAACAAGACGCTGCGCTTACTTTTTAATCCAAGATGATATCAGCATTTGGCAGGAAGCTGCCCGTAGGAGATGTTTCAACTCTCAGTGCACTGACTTGTTGGTTTTACAGAAGTGACTTTTCCATGGCCTTCATCTTGCAAAATAGGACAGGGCTCCAGCAGCTGAGCACGTGTGTGCTGACCTTATAACACTTCGATGGAAATCCTCTGAACAAGCAGAATTATCAACTTCCCTTTTGCAGTGAAATCTCTATAATGTGCAGTGGAAATTGTTTTAGCGTGCTCAAGTCAAACTGTGCCTCTTTGAATATTTCTGCTCTCCCCTGCAAATAATGTATGATAGACAAAGAGGGCGGTTGTGATGCTGGATTATTATTATTTTTGTGGTGATGATTGCCTTCCTCCCCCTCTTTGGTACCCGCTGTTCTCATTCATTTGGTCTTTTCTGGGCTTCTTCAGATGGTGGGAGTGCAGGAGAAAACATGATGATAGATCATCAAAGAGAAGTCAGGGAGGAGCTGTAGGTGGTACTTCATTAATGGTAGTTATAATTAGGGAATTAGAAGGGAGATTGTGGAGTGAGACTAGTGTGAGTGACTCGGGTGGTGCTGCAGTGTAGATGGAAGTGCGTGTGCAAGGCTTGCAGTGCTTGGGACCTGTGTGTGAAGGTCGGAGCCTGCAGTGGAGCACAGACAGGCAGCACTTTGGAGGCAAATCTGAAACTGGAAGCATGGCTTGGTTTTCAGAGTACAGTGGTGGTGGTCTGCGAGATGCTACCCTGATAATCAGAAGCACTGCAGTTGGAGACAGCTTAGGTTAAAAATATTCCAGTTAGCATCTCTTCTGACTGTACATCTGATAGTTGCTAACAAATCAGCCTAAACTTTGGTTTTCATCTGCTGATGAGATTGTGCCACTCTTTCATGTTCTGCAGAGGGCCAATACGAGTGGAATTGCTTGGTTTTTAATAAATACACTTCTTCAGCTTTCTTGCTTCATGTTACTGTGAAGCAGTGTGACAGATGTCTTAACTGTTTTATGCCTCTACTTAATTGGCAGATGGAGCTGTCTCTTGGTTATGTGTTATCTGGTTATCTGAGTGGCAGCAGGGCAGCTTAGGGCTTTGTGGCGTGGTTTGAACGTGGAGGTAAGAATACAGACCAGCACTGAACGAGTGTAGGAACTTGTGTTGTTTGATTTGCAGCATTTGAGAGAAGTGCTGAGGGCTCAGAGGCTTTTCTTTGGGATTTTTTTAGTCCATCTGCATTAGGGCATCCTTTTAGTCTTGTCCTGACTTCTTCCCAAACGTAACTAGAATTCATGATGAAGAATACGTGCAGTATTTATCATGAAGCTTTATTTCATGTGCTAGGATTTAATTGCTAACAGATACCTGATTTCCACTGATACCATTGTTGATCTTACTATGTTGTGGTAGCTTGAATGCCCACTCCATCAAAGTGACCATAGATCAGTACAATAGATCTGTTCCTTTCCTAATGTGAACAAACTGAATAACTTGAATGTGCTCGCACTGCTTAAAGCTTTTGCACAAGCAGGGTTGCTCCAGAGGCGTTCAGTTGCATGCGAGTCAGAACTCAAGCTAGCAACTTCCTGTTCCAGCTGGGGTGTTAGCTTAGTACCTCTAAAGGCTTTTCACCAACAGTTGTAACTGGTGTCAGTTTAATCTTGTGGTTTACAGTGAGCTTTCCTCCAAAATGTAGGCTGTGACACTTCATTAAAGGCGGCCGAAGTAGTGCGTGTTGTAGAGGACGTCTGCTTGGGGACAACAAGCAGTTGAGCAAATTTAAGATGATTTGATCCTAGTTTTTTCCTGTTCTACAAACCTGCTGCTTTGGGCACCACAGAACAAAACTGATGGAGAATGTTGGTTGTGTTCTCGTGTACGGATGGCGGTGTGTAAGAATATGCAGAGCAGGTAGGACACTAACAGGAGCTGGGCACCAAGTTTTGCTTCTTGGGAAATGCAGCTTGAACTCAGAAAATGGGTGAAACCAAGCTGGCTGCCAGCCTGGGAGTACATACATTGCCACCAGCTGCTATGCATGCTGTGCAAAATCTTCCTTTCTTTCATCTGCCAGAGAGAAAGAGCTCTCCTTTGCTGATGCAGTTTGTTGTCTGTATGGTGAGACGTCTGATGGGATGAAAGACAAAGTGAGGCATCTGTGTCCAGCCAGGGTAGAAGAAAGCAGAAAGTCACAGTAACCACTGGCTGGAAAACTTCTCTGGCTTAGCAGAAGTTCTGTGAACATCCAGTATAGGAAAAGAAGGTGAAGTGGCCATTAACAGAACCTTGAATAAATCAAAAGCAAACATCAAAAAAATGAGTATGGCCCTGATTAGTAAGTTATGTGGTTTTGCCTGGTGGTTTAGGTAGTAAGAGTCTTTTAAATAAGGCTTATTTTCTTATTCATATAGGCAGTTAAATAAAGCAGCCCTTCTTCGCCCATGTCCTTCACTTCCCTAGCAGAAAAGTCCCTACGTAGTTACTCCCACATGAAAACATGAGTTTAAAAAGCCTCTTGTAAGAAAGACGTTTCCAAAATCTGTTAAGAGAGCCATCTTCAAAACTAAGGTCTGTTACTTTAAACTTTCTGCTTAGCCTTTTGGCTTGCTGAGTGTTGCTTTGTTAGGAACTTCATGCACTCTCTTCTAAAACATGGCTGTATTTCAGACTTTAACTAAAAGTAGGCTTTAACTAAAAAGGTAGTCAGTCTTAAGGAATATATTTCTTACTGAATGAGACACTTTCATCTTTGCACATAATCAAGATCTCTTCGGCCAGAGCATCGGTAACAAAGCTGTGAACTGAATGCTTCCTTCACTTCTCCCTCTGTTTTTCTCTTCGTGTTGCTGATAATTCCCATGTGAGATGTATTTTTCATCCTGGAGACCTTAGAGACCTGGAGAGCATGGCAAGTTTCTGCTCTGTGAAGTATTATCCCTTTAATTCATGAGAGGGCTGTTCCTGGGGTATTGCTCACCTTCCCAAATTGCTTTTTACTATATAGCACTGATTTGTAAATTATACTGACTGCCTACCATTATCCAGTTCATCTTTCCTCTGGTCTCTGATTGCATCTTGATAACTCAGTCTCTCAAGGGGGTGCTGGGCAGGATGGGTGTTGGATACAGCAGTACGAAGCTGTGCAGATTGACTGTTCCCATCAACTCTTCTGTCTCATCAGCTCATATATGTCAGGCCTGCAGCTGGCAGGGTCTGTGTGAGCACTGTGGTATGCACTGCAGGGATGGGAGGTGCATGGGGCACTGTTAGTGCACTGTAAAGGTTTCTTAAGTGATAATGACTTGCTTCTTTACATCCCGAATTCTGCAACGCGGCATGGTAGTTTTTCTCCTGGCAGCTCCTTTATTGTAAGTATGCAGCAGTACAGTCCCAGAAGTCGTTATTTCTTCCTTCTGAGTTACCAAGTCAGAACAGATGTTCAGATTGAATGGGAGCCCTTCGACTTTGGGAGGCTTTTTTAAAATAGAAATAGCATCTCAGTTCCTGACTGCACAGTCATGTAGTTCCACCTGCACCTGAAGTTACTGAACCAAAGCAGACCTCACCTTTCCTGGCCTGTTCTCATCATTGCAACTAAACAGCACATCAGTAATGAGCAGTGACCTTTCAATCACGGTGGCAAGGCTAGCATTGATCGTGTAACATTTTCTTCAATAAGTTTTTTTTTTTCCTCTCTCTTCGATGCTTAAGATAATTTTTGGATGAAACAAGCACTTCTTGCTGATAGATAATTAGTTCAGAGTAGCCTTGGTTCAAAAAGACTTTGTTTTCTGCATCTACCAACGCACCTGCTGCCTGGGTGATAGCCTTGGTGAGATCCATGCTGGCATACCTGGGAGCTGCCTGCCAGCTGCCTTTCGGTCCTGTGAGCTCAGGGCTTTCATTTCCTGGTTGGTCCCATGGAATCCGTGTGCTCCAGCTCATAGGAGAGGTGTGGCTCTGCCAACCTTTTCTCTAAGGTATGCCATCAGATGATGATAAGCTGAATTATGGAGTTCACCCAAATGAAAACTGACCTGACCTAAACAGGGAAGTGCTCGGTCACCACTACTGGATGGCAGCACCTGCCTTAGCTTCGGCTGCCTGTAAGCTGTGGTCACAGCTCAAGTCTTGTGGGGAAGGCTTAAATATTTGCTGCTCTCAATTGCGTGCTGACTGGAAAGAAATATGTTCTCAAAGCAGCTCAGTTAGTGAATTCCCCTTAGTCAGTCTATAAATAATCCTTAAGATAAACAAACTTTGCTGTCTGTATCGTAGGGCAACTTCAATCTGTGTCAGAACCATTTTAGATAAAACTGAGTTACCACCAAGTGCAGTTTGTTTTCCATTGCATGAGCAATAGATGGGAGCTAGATTTGATACACCTCCATAGGCCCAGCCCTTTGAAGTTGTGGAGGTCTGTAATTATACTCGGAGCAGTAGAAGGAAATTCATGACTGCTGTTACTGAATGGTCTGTAAAGCTGGACTGAGTTTTTTTTTGGTGTCTAGCATCATGCAATTCAAAGCACTCTGTAAATTTAGAGTTGTGAGAAGTTGACCCGCTGATCTGTCAGCATTCACACCAACGCCTTTGAATGTGCCATAGTGGCAGCTGAGCCCATAGGAGCATTGCTGCAGTGCTGGCTGCGGGGCAGCGGGCTTCATTCTCACTGTGACAGTCAGAGTACACCATAGGCTACTGAGCTGTCCCAACATGTACCACGTCTAATTCTATTAATTGCCAGTTTTATTCTGAGTCCTGTTGCTTTTTTTTTAATAGCAAGTAATTTGTCTTAAAGGAAGCTGGTAGGTAGCTGTGGTGCAGCTGAGGAGGTATGTGCTGGAGGAAGCTGCAGTTTGCTAAATTTTACAGAGATCGATTGCATCTTGGTAACAAGCTTTAAGGGCTGGAGAGCAGGAAACCACTGTGTGCTATATGTATGTGGCACCTACATTCTTCATTGCCTTGCCTCCTTGTGCCACTTGTATTTGTTTACCAGTGTAGTGGTTGAAGTTTCCTTCCTAATCTTTAGTCTCTTAATATATTTAAAGGTGCAAGACACTACTCTGTTATCTTTGCATAGGAAAACTGTTATGTTATTTGCAGGGGTGAGAGATAAGCTGACGAAAGGCCAGCTAACCCACCGCAGCCTTTGCTGCCCACTCGGAGTTTGGATGCCCTTTCTGGGTTCTCATAGGCTGCCCAGAAGGAACTGAGTACAATTTTGTCCTCTTTAATTTGTGAAAGGATGAATAAAACTGGTTATGCTTCTGTGTAATTCTAAAATAAATTAATCTTACAAGTTTTCAAAAACTTGGCCTTCACCCTGGTGCAGCGTCTCATGTTAATCTGCGTTTTCAATGATGGCAGTAATAGACGACTGCATCTTGAATTAACAAAGTGATAGAAATTGCTGAGATCATCTGAAAATGCAGTGCAGATGTTGTTAGGGACTAAAGCCAGAAGTTCAAGTTCAAAGTGACTAGACTTTGTTCTTCAGCATTATGCTTTATGACGCTGCTGTGTTGCAAGTGTTCCCCGCCCTGCTTTTCATAGTCTGATCTTGTTTCTTCCTCGGTCGTTTCCTAGGTTTACTGGAAATGCCTCAAGAAAGATGGAATGTGAAACTAGCTTTCTGAGGCGTCAGTGTACTGGTTGAATCTACAACAATAGATAAATAATGGAGCACCATAAAGAGTCTCGGGGGCTGGGGAGGAATGAACAACAAACAAAAAAGCTAAAGAAAATAACTCATTTGATCCCAAACCTATGAATCCTACTGCTGGGAACAGCCATCCCTGCTGGTAGCTATTTCCTACTTTGGATGTTTGTGACTTAATCGCTGTTTATTCACAAGAACCAAAAGCCTGCAGTATTCAATAAGCTGAACGTAAAGCGTGTTGATTTTCAGCCATCTGCCTCTTCTCATTTCCTCTTTCTATTGGTAGGTTCCAAGTCATCATGCTCATTGTGAAGTGGTTTTTAGTTCAGCCTTAGTCTGAGCAACTGCAGGAAAAAGTTTCCTTTCCTTTTGTGTGTCTGGAAGAGCTGCATGTTGCATCTTGCCATTAAATTGCAAAATTGTCTTTGTGTGCAGTTCTGCCCATTGGAAGCAAAAAGAACCGACTCCCACAACTCCACAAATCAGTACAGTGTGATAGGAGGGAGCAGTGCAATGTAGTTGGAGCAACTCAGCTTGAAAGTTGCTGTGTAGATTCCAGTCATTCTGTTGCTGTATTGCTCAAGAAGGATAAGGAGAGTTTGTACCTTGCCTCCTTTCCTGCCTTGTGGTGAACTCACTTTGACTGTGGTTGGTGTCCATTGGTGATAAGTGCCAGAGCCATTGGGAAAACCGTTCTTTCCCTTTTAAAATTTTGCTTCTTCCACTCTTGCTTCAGGAGAATAAGGTAAGATTTAGATGAGTGGGGGGGTTCTCACTTAAGAGGGTGAGGTTTTAGTTATGTGCAGCTCAAGCAAATTAGTCTTTAGTGTGATAAATGAGATCTGATATTGTGATGCGTCTTCTGTGTTCTTTGACAGATGGGTATAAAAATGAGACTTGAGCAAGCAAGCCAGGTATTCATGTTTTTCACTGCTGCTTTGCTAATTCTGGATGTTTAATTGCCTTTTTTCTAAAAATTCCTTTGGCTTGTGTATTAAAAACAAAACATAAACCATTTAAATACTAGGACATTGAGGACTAATACTTTTTTTTTAACATAAATTGCATATTGCTTGGCTAGAGTTGGAGAAATACTGTCCAGTTGTAGATACGCAGCTACTATATGCAATCAGAGGCTGACGCTTAATTCGCATCCTGAGAGGTTTAAGTTTCATGGTTGATCTCTTACTACAAATACACCCAAAATAAGCTTGTTGTCGTAATTATACACACTCTATGGACTTAGTGAAATAGGAAACCTATTAAATTAACTTGTGTCGAGGTCAACCAGAACTGCCAACTGATCCACAGCTTTCTCACTGGTGAGGTCCAGCTGCTGCAAACTGCTGTTGAGCTACATGAAGGGTGAAATTAATATACTGGATAACTGTCATACAGAGAAATACTAAGGATTTGTGAGTTTTTTTAACCAGCTGTATGATTTAAGAACATGACCCTTCCACAGCCTTTGTTGTGAGCAGAGTAAAGAGTGGGGAAGTCTTTCTCTGCAGCTGGAGCTGCTGCAGTGATGTACAGGCTCCAGCCAGAATCCTGTTTAGTTTTCCTTGTGTTGGAGCACAAAACAAAACCTGTATGTCCAAGCAGTGGTGTGTTACATGGAAGTGTTGTGGTGCAGGCCTAGCACTGAAAAACAGACATCCCAGCTCTGACTGGTGAGGGTCACAGCTGAGGGGAGAACTGGAGTGCCTTGAGGCTGAGCTGCTGCTCCAGAACCAATGGTAGCAAAAGGAACCGTTTCAGCCTTGCTGCTCAAGTGGTTATTCAGTTCTTGCAAGAATTGCATCATACATATTGATAGCAGAAAAATACTGCTACTAAAAATGGAGAAGGAACCTCTGAATCTGTGATGTTGTTCAGTCCTGTATATTTACTGTTGTCACACAATTGCGTTGCAGCTTAATCATGGGGAAAAATCTGCCCTGGTGGTTGAAATAAGGAGAATGTACGTGGGGGCATAGGAAAGAGTGGAGTCATAGTGGCAGAGTGCTCGCTGTGTGGGATGGATGTGACTTCCTGGCCTCAGTCACAGGGGGCTTAGGTGAGGCTGTTGTGTGTGTGCATCCAAACCTGCGAGGCACGTTGACTTTTTTGAGTGCACAGATTTCTCGCAGTGTGAGTGAGTTGTTGTCAGTTTTCATGGAAGCTGTGTAAGAAAATATCGTCATCCTTAGTAAAGCGAGATGAGAGGATGCACCCCTGACCTGTAGTTGGCAAGGATCTGAAAGCAGTAAGTTCTCTGCTCCACTTACCCCCATCCTACAATGGAAGTTAAGCAGTTATAGTCCTGACTAACATGTGGTTCAATTCTCAGCACAGACTTCATCCGTGCAAACTGCAAGTCTGCAATTCCTTTAATAGACAGTTTTCTACTTATGTCTAGTACCTGCAGTCTAGTACCTTCACTAGGTAGAAGTCATGCTGTCAGACTTTGCCATGTGCCAGCTCTGCTTTGGCCGTTAGAAGTAAATATCCTGTTTGTCCTTGCGTTATAAAAATAAATCTAGGTCTCCTTAAGAACATCTAGAACATGATTTCAGGTGGGCATCCCAGTGCTGCAGAGCTCTTTCCCCCTTCTGGACAGGAGAGCATTGCACGTCGCATTTTAGAGCTGCAAGTTTTTGATCTTTTGCAATCAAACTTTTGCATTCATGAATGGCTCTTTATTATTTGTCTCTTCAAGTTTTTCTATCCCACTGTTTAATTATGTGCAAACAAAGAATTCACCAAGGTAGGAAATTCTGCCAGTAATTACTTTTGAAATGCCATGGTCGTTCAGGTGTGTGAAGTGCCACAAATGCAGCTCGGAAAGCAGAGCAGTGCTCACAGCCGCAGGCTGCGCTCAGCGGGAAGTGGCAGCTCATCTCACCGGGCTCCTGCTCTGAACATTTGCAGCTCACCGCTTCCTGTTGCTGAAGCAAAAGAACAAAAGCAGCACCAGTTTGCAGTTGGTTTTAGCTTCTCAAAAGTCACGGTCGCGTTTGTTAAAGTTGGTTGTCTTGTGGCAGATGTTTATGGATTTCCCCTTTTGCTTTTCTTTTAGCTTCGTCTTTATTCAAGGTGAATTTTGGGGAAGTTCCTACTAGAAAGTTTGATTTCTGAGAAGCTGTTTTTTGTGCAGTGTGTGTTTTTTGTCTTGTTTTGAAAATCCTGGTACTGTAAGGGAAATGAGTAACTGCAGGAAAGCAGTCAGCACAGGGCTCCTACCTGCAGGCTGGTGCTCAGGATGCCACCTCTGCTGGAATCTCCCACTGCTGTGTCTTTGCTCTGGTAGTTCACGGTGAGCGCAGAATTATCTTTAGCCATGGTAGCCTCCAAACTGTAATCCTGACAGTTAGACCTCAGGCCTAGGCACACAAAAAGATTTTAAAACTGCTTTGACTTACTGTTGTCCACAATATGATCTCCTCTACTGAAAAAGTAAACTGTGCTTCTGTAACTTTTGGGGAGAAAATGAAGAGCCAAGATGATTCATTCTCAGATACAAACACAGTGAAGTGTGATGTCAGCAGATGTTGTATCTGGTTAGGGGAAAAATCTTCACAGCAAGGTAGATACAAAATTCTACTGGCAGATAATAGAAACAATGGTAACACCTTCCAAACTTCCCTTGCCTACAAGAAGGGTCTGTGGGGTTGGTTTGGTTTGTTTTTTAGTAGGCACCGTTCTTAGCTTTGGCAGAATGAAAAGATCTGTTTGTCTGTAAATCCTTTTGTGAGTCTTGGGAAATCAGGATTGTTGCAATAGTCTTAGCATTTCAAATCGATGCAGTTAATTTCGTACAGTGGTAGAAGTGCTGATATGATATGAGTTTCTGCTGATGTGTTCTAAGCATGTAGCACATCAATATTAAGCAGCTGAAACTCAGTGTTTTCAGTATATTAAAATTTTAATATTGCATGTGAGAAGAATGAAAGTCAAGAACTTAATGAATGTCTGTATTTCATTGTGTCACTTTGTAGTGTATGAAAATAATAATCTCGTGGCTTATTTCCAGTGCTTCCTGTTTAAGCTATGGTTAAATTAATAAAGCTAGAGACAGCACTTTCCTGCTGAAGACGCTCTTGATAATTGTCTTCTAAATTTCAGATGAGAAATGAGAAAATGAGAAAAAAGAATAGGGGACCAAAAAAGTGTCTTTTACAGACTGTGACTAACTATCAAGTAATTGTTTAAGACCAAGTGAAAGACAAACAGGTTATCAAGTTCAGATTGGATTAACCAGGGGAGGGAAGGAAGGTGTCTGGGACTGAAGGATTAGGCAGCCCCCAGTGGGACCTGAGCAATCTTGGTTTAAGCCACGTTGTAGTAAACGTTTAGATACGCTAAAGCTAAAATAGTCTGGTGACTATAGCACTGGTCCATTTGGAGATGTTGGCTTTGGGTCATAAAGCCATTTGGTTCTTCTTTTCCCCCATTTAAAAATCGATCTTCGGAAGCAATCACTGAGTGGATGGATAGCAGATGAAAGAGTAAGGGGTCAAAGGAGGGAAGTATTCTCTTGGTAACTTTTGAAGCTTTCCGGAAAAATCGTAGTTATTTCGAAGATGACATTCTTGGTCTACTTCAGTCATGCCAGTAACTATATAGTTTCCTCTCCTGCAGTGTCTGATTAGTGTGCATTAAATGTAAGATTTCAAGAGCAGATGCCTCTTTTGGAAAGCAACATAAAGGTTATATGTGTATTTTTCTCTCAGAGCCAGCAGAGATCTGAGGGAACTGTAGGGATTAGTCAGAAGTTGAGACACATACATATCCACCTTACTGGTGTAAAAAGGGGGAAAAAAAGAATGGACCTTCCCATAACCTTCATTGATTCTATCAGTGAATCTGAGTTTAGTGATATTTCCATTGTGCGGAAGACTTTATTCTTAATACTGCGGGTGCAGCTGGAAGCTTTTATGTATTTCAGGTTTTGTAGTGCATGGCAGAAATGACAACTTTAGAATAATTAGTATTTTTTTAAGTTTCTATTTAACAAATTGTACGAAGGAAATGGAGCACTTCCTTTTCATTTACCACAAAATTAATGTTTCTCCGGCAGGAATTGACTTTAAGATCAGAACCATAGAATTAGATGGGAAGAAAATCAAACTGCAGATATGGTAAGTACTCCAAAGTAACTTTTCAGTGAGTTCTGAATTATCATTGAGCGGGATTGTGACAAGACAAGGGGAAACTGTTGCGAACTACAGGAGGGGAAATCTGAATGGGACATAAGGAAGAAGGTTTTTACACTGAGGGCAGTGAGGCACTGGCACAGGTTGGATGGGTGCCCCATCCCTGAAGATATGCAAGGTCAGGCTGGGTCAGGCTCTGAGCAACCTGATCTTGCTGTGGATGTCCCTGTTCATTGCAGGGGCGTTGGACGAGATGGCCTTTAAAGGTCACTTCCAACTCAAAAGATTCTGTGATTTTACTGCTGCGTGTTTTAATTTATTTATTTCAGGAATCGTATGCATCAGAGCTACCTTTGTTAATATTAGGAAAGGCTGTGTAATGCTGAGGTCTCAATGCGTGCATGGCAATGCTTTTTTGCCATGTTTATGGTGCTGCTGTAATCACTGATTTTATGTATGACAGCTTGGAAGTGAGGATGATGTTGACGACTGAAGAAACACATGCACGTTGCTTCTAGGTGGTGTTTTCCTTAATTAATGAGTATCAAAACATTGTTACTCTGTTTTAAAAAGAGCTCTAAATACAGAAAAGCACGAAGAAAAAAGCATATGTCCATGAAATGTCAGTTTTCTTTTGACTTTTAGGGATACAGCAGGCCAGGAGAGGTTCCGCACAATCACAACAGCTTACTACAGAGGAGCCATGGTGAGTGCCCTTCATGGAATTGATGTACAGCTGGTGTAACTGTGTTCTGCTGTTCTTAAATTGCATCGTGTAAGTCTCCTACTGGAGAACTGGGTAGTTGTCACTTGTGCTGTGGGGAATGAAGTGTTTTTCTTGTTCTGCTTAGTTTTTTGTTACTTGCTGATGCATTGTCTAGTCATAGTTTTTTTTTTTTTTTTTTGTGGTGAAACTCAGAGTCTTTTAATATAGTTACCATTTGTGTGGATTGCAGAAAGAAGCTAAGTTGCCAAGCTTGAATTAAATGGCTTAATAATGCAATGAACCCTTTTATACATTTGAAATATTTGAAGAATAAGTAGTAAATGACTTTAATTCCAATAATCTCTTCTACTGAGTTGATTTTTCGCTTCTGCTTTTCCTTACCATCATCTGAGAACACAGAATCTGGAGTAGAAATACAATCACCTGAAAAATGAATGGTTTTTTTGCCTCCATTAAGAATGACTTGAAGTCAAATAGCTGTCTTCACACTTCTTGTTACAATTATACATAATGGCTCTTAATGCCATGATTTGAGGTACCCTAAGTCCATGATTTAAGGTACTCTAGGTCTAGTCACTTTTAATTTCAACTTGCTGCTGGCTAGCTGTGCTGTTACACTGTGTTCTTAGCACCTTCCATGAATGGATCTGTCCATAGGCTGGCTGTGGGTCCAGGTAACTCCACTATCATGGAACACAAATGGCAAAGATGTTGCTTGTGGCTCTGGTTGAGCATTTTTGCACTTAAAAATAGTTTGGCAGTGATGTGATCTTCTTTCCACTTCCCAGTCCAGGGCTGCTTTTTCTTTGTCTTATGTAGAGTGATTGGGTACACAGTGAGAAATGGAGATAAGCCTGGCAGTCTGTCCTCAATGCAGCTGTTGTGTGGTTTCACAGGCTCTGCGGCTTGTTGAGAGCCTGTGTTAGTTCACTTGCATAACTGCCTTTGTGGGAACACCTGAGGTGATCTTTCTTGAAAGAATCTGCTATCCCCAACAGACTCACAGGTCTCACAGGTTTATTATTCTGCTCAGGCTGTTTCTAAACTTGACATCAACAATCCAAGTTGCTGTTGTAGTAGAGATTGTGAATTATTCCTGACTACAAGCTAGTAATGCAAAACTTCCTATTAGTAGTGTGTTTGATCTATTTAATAGTTCCATGAGATGCTAAATAGTAATATTTTTGGGTAAGCAAATGCATAATGCTTTGATAAATTATTATGGTTTATAAGTATGTAAGTCCTATGTCCAATTTCTTGTAAGTACAATCAAACGGCATACATGAGAAGTCAACCAATATTATTAGCTCATCTAACTAGATTTTCTTAATTTTATTTAGGGAATTATGCTGGTGTATGACATAACAAATGAAAAGTCTTTTGACAACATAAAAAACTGGATAAGAAACATTGAAGAGGTAGGTGCTTTGTAAAAGGAGGCTTTGGAAAACACTACTTAATCATTCTACCTTAAGATTTCACAGGGTAAAATAATAGGAAAATAATCATTTATCTTCACGATAGGAGCCAATGTATTTATGAGCAAGTTAGACTATGCACTGAACAAAACTGATTACCAGTGTGAAGAATATTGTCTCCTTCCTGTAGGTGTGGCTGGTTGAAAACCTGGGTTTAATAAGTAATAGTGAAGTGTTTCAAAACTGATCTTGCTATGACTTGTGCTGCTCTCTCTTGCTTTTGGGTTTGTGTATGGAAAGGGTACACACCTTGAGATCTTCCTCCTTCTTTGCACTGAGATGATGACAGATCTGTCTAGTTTCAGTTGCTTTTGTGTTTGTAGAATTGAAGATTTTTCTGCTTTTCATTTGGTCTACCAGAAAGAAAGCTTAACCATTGTAAATTATTTAACAGGACATGCTGTCAATTAGAATGAGATAATTATGAAGTTAGAGGAGAAGCCCTAATTTTATTGAAGCTGTAGTTAGGTAACAGAATCTGTTTTCTTGTTCTTTGTTTTTTGGTGTTTCTTTTTGTATTTGTGTTGTGTACCACCACGCCTCCCCCTAAAAAAAATAAATCCATAGGCTTTTCTTTAGTATTATCCTTTAAATAAGCAAGTTTTATTATATTAATGATCAATTTGACCCAAATTGACTGGGCTAGAAATGCATTTTCACTGAACTTCTCTTTTTATAATTATTTACTTAATCATTTCTTAATAATCTGTTCTAAAAACGCAAATGTTGTATGTAATGATACCTCAATCCCAATGTAATGTTGCACATAATTTGTTATTATAAGTAGATTGAATGTAGGAATCTTTATTCAAAGCTATTTCATTATTTTAATATTAGATTGCCTGTTTCAAAAGTCATTACCTTTCTCAGTAATGCCTTGGCATTAGTTATAGAAAAGATAATGCCCATTTGTGGATGGCTTTGACACACAGATTTCTTTGAAATCACGTTGCTCTTTATTTCTAAGAGGTGACATCTTTTGCTCCCTTCAGCATGCCTCTTCAGATGTAGAGCGAATGATCCTGGGTAACAAATGTGACATGAATGAAAAGAGACAAGTCTCCAAAGAAAAGGGGGAAAAGGTAAACTTTATGCTGACTTTGTTCAGAAGCCAGCTTTTCTTAGTATTCTGGCTATAAGATATTTGCTTGCTTTTAGGCGCATGAGAGAGAACGCATCTCACACCTCTTGTTTTAGAAGTTTTTGATTTAAGATGCTATGCATTTGGCTTGTTTTTAAAAGTCTTTTTGTTTGAGTTTGAATAAATTTAGAGTTATCCTTGACATGAGGGGAAGAATCTGTAAAGAATGCTGGGCTTTGCTATAGCATGAGATCTTGTAAGTCTCAATAAAAAGCTATGTATGTAATTTAGCCAGTTCAGTATGGTGGTTACTGGCCCTTCTCTTAGGTACTAGGACTAAACTAATTAGTTCAGTAAGAACAGAATGCTATAGACTAAAATGCTATTCTACACTAGAATATAAGAGTACTATGCAATAAACACCGCCACGTATGCAGCTGAAATATTATAATGGTTAGTAACACAACCTACAGGATGGTTTTATGTAGTTATCTGTTCAACATGCACATAGCAGTGAAGATTTTAATTCAGTGGTTTTTGGTCTTAAAACTTAAGTCCTTTCTGAGCAGTTAATCTTTTTGAGGGTTTGAATTTACATGGAAATACAGCCTGTTTTAACATTTTTCTGTTTGTTCAGTAACTTCAGTGCTTTATTAAAAGAAAAGTAGAAATAAAGCTTCATTTGTTTGCAAAGCCTGCTGCCGTCTGTAACACCTCTTGTATTATGAACTTAGGTAAAATATTCATTTGCAAGGGAACTTCAAAACGACTGAAAAAATTTAATCTCTCTTTCAGTTAGCAATTGATTATGGAATCAAATTTTTGGAGACAAGTGCAAAGTCCAGCATAAATGTGGAAGAGGTAAGGAATTGGTGTTTATGCTTAGATGGGCTTTGTGAATATTCCTGTGGAGGCATGTTGCATGATTGGTAACTAATAGGCTTACTGACCCGATCTGGGACATGAAGTCACACCTGGCTTGTTCTATTTAGAAAGCTATTGTAAAACCTAGCGTTTCTTGGTTTCTGGTAATATCTGGCATTATTTTTAAATTGATTGTTAACAGAGTGCTATTATTGTAACAAACAGTTGCTTTAAATTTCAATTGCAAATGCTCTTGGACAGGAAATAGGTAGAATTTTAAAACCAAGCTCTGTGGAGGAAATTGCCTTTGAGATTCTTCATTTTCAGAACAACATGCTTCTGTGCTAAAGAGTCTTCAGGTTACTACTAAGCATGCTATGAAGATGAGACTGAATTTTTTCTTGTAAACACAGAACATCAGCATAGACTGTCATAAACTGATGTTAGAGGAGGAAGAAAGCTAATACTACTCAATCTATAGACCTGCAGTCTGTTTTCTTGCAAACAAATTCCTTGCTAAAAACAACAGCTCCGTATTTGCGAGAGCATTAGGAAATAAACTGGGAAGGTAGAGTAGCTCAAGTCAAATCTATTTTACCATGAATCACTATTACCATCTCAGTGAGTGTTGTGTGAGGATATTAACTTCACGAAAAATGTGAACAAGAAAATAGTATGATATCAAAAGGCAGATATGTTGAGATTTATTCATTCAGATTGGAGGCATTGTGCTGCATCGGGAAGAGTGCTGGACCTGATTTTCAGAATCATAATGATTCTTCTGGCAGTCAGTAGAAGTGTGAGTATTAGCAACTAATACCAGTGGTGGATAGCAACAGTCTCCTAATACAAAGTACATACCTTGGTTAGTCCATTTGGAAGGTAGACTTCTGTTTCATGACGTGCCCTGCAACTTCATTTTAACTCTTCTAGGCTATTAAATTAGTTTGTGCCTACCCCAAACTGCTTGGCTATGAGTACTTTTAAAAACTGTTACTTGAATTGTGAAGAAAGAATAAATAGATGCAACTGGTGTAGATGTTCAGCAAGTAACCATTTAGTTTCATTTCCACCAGAAGTTGAAACTAGTGAGGAATTACTCATGTAATACTGTTGTGATCACAAGTAAGCTAGTTTACTTTATTGGCAATGACTTGTTTGCATTAAGTGCATTTGTCCTTGGATGTATTCAGAACACAGTGAGAGTACAGTTTCTCCAATCTGGAATGTATTTAGTGTGCTGATATGTCCAGGTACTCTGAAGTCTTACTTTTTATCAATTTGGGAGAATTGCAGCATGTTTCTGCTGCAGAACTTTCTCTGCTCCTTTGTATGTTCAAGTCTGAGATGCTGAGATTTGCCAGAGCGGCTGGAGTGATTTCTTTTGTTTTTTTGTTAAGGCATGTTGTAAGCATAAAGAAAGGCTATTGGTAGCCCAGGACTTAGAGATTTGAAAGACAGAAAGAAAGCTAATTTTGATGTGAATTCCCAGGTTTACCAGCCTCAAAACTTTATGTACATTTCTAGTTGCAATGTGCAGTAGAGTTCAGCCAAAAAAAACCACAACAGTTAATAGTATGTAGCCTTCTATTCAACAGATGTTTTTTGTCTGAGAAGTAGGCAGTTGGGAAAGCTGTTTGCATGCTTCAAAGTTGAGAAAGATAGAAACTAAAACTAGTGCTTTTTTTTTTTTTTAAAGAATGCTCATTGCAGTGTTAAATAAGCAGTTTTTGTACACTCTGCTATGTGCTGTACAAAGTGCTATGTGGCCTACAGAATGTTTGCATGTCTTACTATTCCTAACATATCTTTTAATGTCTCTACTGACTGATTCCTCTCTTCTTATTTTTTCTCCTCACCAGGCTTTTTTCACACTTGCACGGGACATTATGACAAAGCTCAACAGAAAAATGGTTTGTATTTCCAGTGGCATACAAAGTAGATACACTGAAATTACTGTTAAAGAAACTGGCTTGCTAGTAGTAGCCCTGTCCAAAAGTTTCTGGTGATTGCAGTGGGTTCTACATCAAATTTGAGTGAACAGGTAGGGGGGAAAATGGGGTATGGGGAAGAACATTGTGCTCAGCTATGCTAGGGGAAACTGGACTGCAGAGCTGCTTCTGAAACACACACTCTAGTTTTTAGCATCTTGATTCCCTAGGATGTTAGCTGGAAAACAAGTGAGCATCCAGCACAGAGCTACTAGGACAGCTCATCTGGTAGGGAGCTTAAGAGCACAAGATCCGTAGGAAAGGTTTAATGACCTGGGCTTTCTTAGCATGTCGCATAATCCTTAATTCTTTCTTAAGTCATAAGATAACATGCAGCTTTGATGTAGTGAAGCAGTTCTTAGTTGTGCATTGCTCTGTATCTGGAAAGTATTGTTGCTCTTACAGTTAGTTGTTCATTTACTCTCAAGGATAATAGCAGACTACATTTACCTAATTTACCTGTCACAGAAGAGAGTGAGATTCAGTAGGTGCCATATTTGACTGTTAATTTCTTAGGCTGATTTGCAGTCACTTAGATGTACAAATTTACTAATGCAGTCATGGAAGCTGCTATTACCAGTGAACAAGGATTCAGTGATGCAAATTCCATTAAGCAAAAGAAGTTTATCTTCTGTTAAAGGAGCAGTGGATTTCACAGTTATGTTGTAAACTAGCACAGATGCTAGAACTCAAGCTGATCTTAAGTGTATACATGTTCTCTATCTAAAAGCGGTCACTTAAACACAAATGCACATTGGCATGAAATTGTTCTTTATTTTCTGTGAACATTACCACTGAGCAGCCTGAAACTGGTGTGTTCTTTGTCCTTATAGCACTATGATTCTTACTTCATTGAATGTCAAATTTTGTAGTCGCTCACTGAGCTAATACTTGAGATTTGGACCGTTGGACAAATGCTTCTTTTAAAGATAAGTTCTATGAAGTGAAGAGCCTGCATAACTGAGAAGCTCAGGCTGTAACAAACCATTCTGCCAGTTATCATTTTGCAAGAGGGAGATATAGTGGGGAAATGAGTAAAGCTGAAATTGCTTTTAATTGATGTTGCATTTCATGACGTTGATAATCTTTTCTTTTTCAGAATGACAGCAGTTCATCGGGGGCAGGTGGGCCGGTAAAAATAACAGAAAATCGATCTAAGAAGAGCAGCTTCTTTCGATGCACGCTACTTTGATGAACTTTTAACAATAGACTGCAGCACACTTAGAACCTTTTCTGCTTCTTTGAAAGCACAGGGTCACAAAGCCTCAGAAATAATACCACCAAGCTGCTGCTGAGAGCTCCATTGAACGTAGACTGCGATACACAAAATATCAAGTGGATTTTGCTCACTAAGCCTATTGTTCTGTCAGGCTCCTCTTTCTCAAATATGGAAGCTATGAAGTGGAGACACAAATGCAAGAGTTAACTTGTTTTCCTTTTTTACTTTCTGTTTTATTGCCTGTTGCAAAAGCTGCTATGTTTCTTTTAACTTTGCACATCCATATTAGCCTCTTACTGCCTGTTACAGCACAATCTTACATTTGTATTTGCACAGTTTCACTTGTAAGTAAGATTCTTAACAGATTTGTGCAGATTTTCCTTTTTTGAACAAATTTATTTTAAAGCAGAACAGCCGGAGGACAGATTAAGTCACTTCCATTATTTTCTTTGCTGTGTACTTACGGCCATGACTGCGCTGTGGGTGTTGACACTCTAGTGATGAGAATTACTCTAACAATTGACATTTAACAATTTGTATGAGTTCTGTCTCAGAGATGCACAAATCTGTTCATGCAGAAGCAATGGCTTTTATTCTGAATGTAGTATGTTGCTTTTCTTTCTTTACCAGATATAGAAAAGTTGTGTTCTGAATTGCCAGTCACTGTCTGATTTCACAGATGCACCTTTCGGTAATTTTAATAAACGCCGTGTCTTTCCTCACTTAACTTCCATTTGTTAGCTCAAACTGTCTGCACCTTTTCTTTGTTTTTATGAGGAAGTACACTCTGGAATTGAGATCATCACAAATTGGCCTCGTTGCTATCACTTAAGTGGCTTATGGAATCTGAACGCATGAGTTTTGAGTAACCACTTTGTGGATTCACTTGCTCAGAATGACCGCTCTAATGGTGACTTTGATTTCTATTTTAATGACAAAGATGGTCTGTTAATGTCTGTAAGCATCAGCCCTTGTCAAAAAAGTGTCCAAAAGTTAGCTTCCTGTGTGGTTGAAGTTCATCAAGCTCTGGCACTACATAAAGGGTCACATTCGGGCTGGAACGTAATATTGGTTATGCAGTTAATGATGAATGTATAAAGCCCTCATTGGTCTGCTCAAGCAGTACACTTTTTGTTTTCATTAAAAACTGGTACAGTGACCTAGACTGTTAGAAGCAGAGTTGAAACTTAGTTGCCTTTTTTACTCAACTGAGCATTGTATAAGGTAGTCTTTGTTCCTACTACTTTTTTTATTGTCTACTGAAATTTTTCCTCAATGAGCAAGTAAAATAGGTGCTCTAGTTCTGTTGATGTGCCAAACTTGGACCATTGTAAGCTTTAACTACAAGTTTGTGTCCAGCATGTTTGTTATTAGGGGATAGGTGGATTCTGTCATTGGCAAAGTAATGTCTCTGACCTGCTTGCTTTTGCTTCACAATGTTGTCAAGTTGCAAACAGTGAATTGGTTGTTACTGCAGATAACTGCTTCATTCGTGGTGTCCGGTACTGAATTTGTCATCTTGGGTCTGTTGTAAATACTGCGCAAGTGAACAGACCAATAGCATTAGATATAAAAGGACCTTTGATTTGAAAAGATCTAACAGTAGTAGCTGGTTCTATAAAGATTAAATTGTTATCAACCTGTCCCCACGTGTAGCTTAATAGAAATAGTTATTGTAATTAGATGGTGAATCTCATAACCTTCTGTTGCTGCACTTAAAGAAAAATCGTAATGGCAGCAAAGGTTTAGTGGAAAGTCAAAGCATCCCTAACTGCTCGTTTGTCTACCCTTGATGTTTTTCTTGGACAGGTTAAAGCAGTTATGTTTTCTGTATGTTTTTTCTTTTTCTTCTTTTTGGAAAAAAAAAAAAGTGCTTCTGTACAGAAAGTGTTGTGACACCAATTATGAATGTTGTTTATTTTCAGTAATTTACCTCCGACTTACTTGGTGTCGTAATACTTTGATTTTTATCTCAGGGGTTGTCTGCAAACCAAAACTGACATGTTCTGTGTTTGGCACCGTTTACAGAATGCTTTGTGTTGTTTTTCCTGTCTTCGCTGTGTGGTTAAGTGTACATTCAATAGTAGTCTCCATGAACTTCCCTTTGAAAGAGCCTGTAAGTAGGAGAGTCTATGAAGTGCTTCTTGAAGCAGCAGTGAATTGGGGTATCTGCTCTGTATTTGGGGGGGGCGGGGGGAAACTTGCTATTTTCTTACATTTAGCTGTGCTAAACTGTACATAAATGTGAGGTAAGACCATAGGAAATTCACTTTATGCATGATAAAATGATGCAGTAAATATTTCACTTTGCTTAATGTTCATGTAAAGTTCATCTTTTTCTATTTGTAGAAGAATTTAGTGCAATTTTGTTGTCCCCTGCTGAAACTGAAGAATTCTAATTTCATGTGGTCTTATGGATAAGGTAAAATGCAGATTTCTCTCTGTTTTGCCCCCACCCCTGTTCTCCAGCAGTATTAAATGGCTGAGTGGCTGCACTTTGTCAGTGTGCTAACTTCTGGTCAGTATAGACCTTTCTGTCTACAGTCTGCCTTGTCAGACATAGAAAACCGTGCTGTATCTTAGCGTGCAAATCAGCTGTATGTTTTACTGGGAATTTTTTAGCTATGTTTTGCTCTAGACAAGTGGGTGATGATAAATGACATGTTCTGCCTAGGCATCAGATGCTGGGTACTACAGGCTTTTCTAATACCAGTCTGATTGTTTTGTGCAGTCTCTGTTGCTACTTTGCTCAAATCTATATAACCTAAATTTTGAAGGACTCAACTATACCTCAGCCAACTAGTTAGTATTCTCATGTTCATTACTATGAAAGTCATAGAATTATTCATTAAGCAGCAAATGTTATCTCTTTTTTGCTCCAGAAATTGCCATTAAGCTTTTAGGAGAAGCAGATGTTTCTGGTGGATTTTAATGGAATAAAACCACTGTTTGTGCTGTTGAGGTTTCTTGAAATGTTTCTCTGCCCCGTGTCTGTGTACTACATCTTGACCAATATTTTTCTAAATGGTTTAAAAAGAAATGTGGTCTCAGTTTTAGCATTGCAGTTTTAGCTTCCAGTCTGCGCTCAGCAAAACATGAAGTTGTTTTTGTTGAGTATATCTAGAATATTTGATTTACTTAATGTCTCACTGGAAGTTGTATTATTATTAAAGCTTAAACCACTCGAAACATAGCTAACTTTTCTATTTGGGGGACAGACTTAAAGATACCAGTTGAATTTTCAGACCTGTAGTTGTGGTGTTTCTTTTTTGTTTTCTTTTGTGCCCTTTTTTACATAAACTATTTCCATTGTAAGTACATTCCCCTTTCTAGTCCGCTGAAGTCATTTAAAAGGCACAGTCATTTTCACAAGTGAAAAAAGGATTCTTGAATATACATATTGCATTAAAATATTGTGAATGGATACTGATTTGAAGTACATGAATGATATGTAAAAATGCATAAATGTTATTTGTGGAAATGGCCTGTTATTTTGCTATCTGTTAATGTAACTGAAATTTTGCAGCGTTAAACTTGTTAAGGATTGGTCTGTAGGTGATGATAAATAGGTCTTTTCTTTTCCATTCACTGAACCGCTTATAAATTCTTATAAATAAAACTTGTATTTCTCTCTTCCACAAAAGCAGGATTTCCACTGATTTTTCTTGTTTCTGGTGAATTTAAGTATTTTAGTGCATTCCTATGGCCTTACAGATGTTTTTGCAACTAAAACTTCAATTACAGTTATTTTAATGCAATGTAGCTACTAAATTCAGACTAGAAAGTATAGTCCTTGAGAAATTGCTTAATTTTGAAATAGAAGTGTTCTACTGTGTGTGTTTAAGCACATTTTTATCTCTGATCAAAGGTGTAATGTGAAAAGCTCCTGCAGATAAAGTGATCTTGTCATGTGATTAACCTGTAAGCCTAATCATTGTGTATTGATGTGTATAGACAAAAAAAAAAAAATCCCCTCCCAAAAAAACCACTTTAAATTCTAATGGTTTTATTATTCCATGTGAACTTTTTTACAATAATATGTCTCAAATAAAAGTTACGTAATGAAAAGAATTTGGAGTATTTTTTATGAAATATTCCACATAGTTGTTAGAAAGTTGGCATTTCCACTGTTTTCTGTCTCTGTTGTGGATAGTAGTTCAGCTGACTTGCCTGTAGCTGTAACTTCAGTGATAAACCACAGGTATTCTTGTATGGTTTTGTTTGCATCTAAACTTGTCTGTTCTTCAGATATGTCTGAAATGTCCTTTATTCCTGGAGTGACTGCTTTTTGTAGAAATTAAGTGTATTATTCCAGTGACTGTAGGTTTCCTAAGGAAGTGTATCATGAAAAGGTACAGGTGCTGCTCAGAAGGTACTTGGGAAGTAAAGATAACATAAGAGACAGTCTCCAATTTGAGTAAGAGTTATTTAGTCATTTGTTAAGTCAGGGATAACAGACTATTTTGATTTTTTTTTTTTTTTTTTTTTTGGTGAAGGGTATGATCTTACTACCTCTACATAACCTGAGATGCAGATATCATCAATATGTTAGATATGGCTTGTCGAGCCTTATTCACCACTGTACATGGTGGGATTTGACAGAAGTATTTGCTTGCTATTATATTATCAATAGCTTTTGACTTTAAAAGTCATGTGGTTTTCAAGTCATGATTGGTGTGATATTAGAGAAGGAAAGAATAGCTGTGTCTGTTCAAGACCAAAGCAGGTGAATGGTTGAGACAGCCAGTTGGGCAACCCAGTGAATTTATAGGAGGAGTACTTCGCCATGAATAACAAGTAGCTTCTAAAATCTATGCTTTTTACATGTTTCTGTAGTAAACTGCATTTAGCTGAAATAATGTTTTGTGTCTTTTTACCTCCCACAAGAGCAAGCTGGAATTAGCTTCTCATTAACGCCTGTTATTTTAGCATTTACTTTCTGTACTCAGGCTGCTTCTGGCAGACAAGTTTGCTGCTTTAGGACCAACTGTTTAAACCTTATCTTTCAGTTGTCTTCGTCTGAATTGGGTATAGATAAATAGCAGTACTGAGATTACTTCTGAGAGTCCTTCAGTTTAAACAGAAATGAGTGGCATGCATCTGTACCCCAACAGCATTTTAAATTAGCATTCTTCATTTGTTAAAAGGAAATAGCAGGTATACTTAACACTGCAATGAAACTGGTGGTTTATTACAGTTCCTGGATCTGTCTTTTGACTATGAACAGGAGTTACTACAAAAGTAGCTCTTGCACGCTTACAGATCAGGGGCAAGTTATTGGTACTTGTGCAGAACCTGTTTTTATGGTCTGGTAAACTGCCTTTTTTGTGAATAATGCTTTCCAAGTTAGTTGACTGGTGGCTCTTTCAGACTTTTTGGACTGTATGTAGGTCATCAATGTAATATCAGATCTTAAAATTCCTTTTCAAGTTCCTTAGGGGAGGTTCAGATTGGACATTAGGAAAAATTTATTCTCTGAAAGAGTGCTTAGGCACTGGAATGGGCTGCTCAGGGAGGTGCTGGAGTCACAACACTGGAGGTGTTCAAGGAACGTTTAAATGTTGTACAGGGGGACGTGGTTGAGTGGGGGAATATTGGTGGTAGGTAGATGGTTGGACTGGATGATCCTGGAGGTCTTTCCAAACCTCGGTCATTCTATGATTATTGTGTTGTCTTCAAAGTGAATGCAAATTCTGTCAATATTTAGTGATCGTTGAACTCTTCACTCTTAGTTATTGAGCATCTTCTGTGAGGAGGTGACAGGAAACCTTGCTGCAGCAGTGACTTCTGGCGGTGCTGCACAAAAGTGCCTGTGGCGCAGCTGCAGCCGCAGGGCCTCTGTGAGGCGGTGGTCACAGGCAAAGCCCTGAACGCTGTTAGTGACAGTTGAACTTGTTCCTGAATGGGTTTTCATTCCTTGGGAAAGCTGCCGTGGGGTCCCTGACCCCCAGTGTGGTGGGATGCGTTTGTGGAGCAGCACGGAGCAGGTTGTGCTGCTGGGGATGCCTGGCGCTGTGACAGGGATGGGCTGAGGACTGCTGCACTGCTGCCTTCCTCACTGCTCACAGTGCCCAGCGCTTCTTTGTGTACAGACTTTGGTTGGACTGCTGGCACTGTGCTCATCTCTTAAGAGTGTTTAGCTGGTGAATCATCTGTGCTTTACTTGTGCTTATGTTAATACATTTCTTTTTTAAAGGAAAAGTTGTATTTTCAGTGTTGTTTTCAAATCCTCGGGGTTATTCTTTTTTTCTCTCTTTCCCTCCAGGCACCACAGCAGCTAACTAGTTCTGGTGTGTTCTAGATGGAGGATGGTGTTATCCGAAGAAGCCTAAGCAAGCTCTGTCCGTGCTTTTCACATCTAATGCAACCGATTGCTTTTGGGCCGCTTCACCTGCTGCGCGATGATTGTAAAACCCGCATTTATACTTCGCACAAATAAAATACAAGGAAGAGGCAAGCACGTGTCTTAAACCATTTGTGAGTAGTTTCCCGCAGTCGCCTGCTTAGGTGTGTTTTGCAAAGTGCAGATACGGGGCTCAGCTGCGCTTTACATTTGCACTTAAGTCCCTGGCACTGCTGCCCGCAGGTGCCCGAGGCGCTGTGCTGGGGCAGGCAGCCCGCGGCAGGACTGGAAGCGTAACGGTCGCCTCCCCCCCCCCCCACCACCATTTTATGACTGACCGCTCCAGCGCGGCCCGTGGCGCCAGCAGGGGGCGCGCTCCATGCGCGGTGGCGGCGGCTCGTTCCGCACCGCCTCGCTCAGCGTCGCGTGGTGCAGCGGAGGCGCGGGCTCGTGGCGGCCTCAGCGCAGCGGCGCGTCCCGTCCTGAGCCCTCAGGCGCGAGGCTTTCCCGACACGTCCCGCCGCTCCGCCCCGAGCGGCTCCCGCACATCGTACGGGGCGGGTCTGTCGCTTTCGGCGCCTGGAAGGCGTTCCCGAGGACCGCGGCGATGGTAGGAAAGCGTTGGAAGGGGCGTTTGTGAGCCGGTCTGTTTGCTGCGCGTTCTCACAGCGCTGCGGTGGGCGGCGTGCGGCCGTCAGTTGCGTTGTTGTTAACCGCCCTCACTCATCAGAGGCGGAATCATGAAAGTGTGTGTGTGTGTGGGGGGGGGAAATAATAAAAAGCCCCAATCTTCTTTTTTAATTGTCATGGGAAACATACTTTTATTTAGAATACACTTCTTTTGTGGTATTCACTCTGCAACTCCCTAACCGGCGTATTTGCATGGCGAGGATCCGTGGCTGCATCCCTCATAGCAGCGTTAAACCCCTGTGGGTGATGCAGCAGCAGTGGTGGCTGTGGCGGGGTTCTCTGTTCCCGTTTTTCCTCCCTTCGGTGTATTTTGGCTGCTGGCCCTGCTGCTCTCTGCTTTGTGCAGCCCTGAGGGCAGCCCAGCCGTCCCGATGCTGAAGTGCAAGGATGTTGTCGCCAATGTCGCTTCTTTTGAAGAGAAATCATCATCCCTGAGGTTGGAATTTGGACTTGATTACTGAAAAACACACGTTGTTTTAAAGCTCTGGCCATCACTGCGTGGTGGAGTCAGAATGTCCTCCTTCCTGCTCCTCCCTGTGCTGTGGCCGGCTGTTCTTGCTGCTGTGACGCTCACTGAGAGCTGTAGGGCGTCCTTAAAATCAATGGTTTGCCACGGAGTCACAGAAAATATATCCTGCATTGTTGAGTGGCTTCCTTGTTGCATATGAAATAATTAAGAAGGCTAAGACAAGTGAGATTTGGGTCTAATCCATCTTACTGAATTAATTTTAATCACTTATTACAGAAAAGCCAACAGAGACTCGATGAGTGTAAGCCAGGAAGAAGTCATGTTTGTCTCTGCTGCACGGCCGTACTGTGTTAAGTTGTATGGAGCCATTTAACAAATCTTCAAATTAATCAAAAAAGCTTTTTTTATTTCATTAAATATACACATGTAATGGCAGGTAATACTGCCTGCCTGGCTTTATAAAGTTGGATATACCTTATAGCCCTATGTAACTGTATTTTTTAATGTTTTATGAAGTAAAAGATGCTTGTTTGGCCCATGTGGGAGCCGGTGGATCTCTGCTGATGTCTCTGTGATGGTTGAAACAGCTGGCAATATTTAATGAATCGTATCTCCATGAATTTACAAATAAAGATTTCAGAAATCACTCTCTGATAATGATGCTGTACGTGCCTCCAAAAATGTGTTAACGTGACAAAGACTGTATGTGCATAGTTTGGTAGAAAAACGATCCCCGAGTAATAACGCTTGGCATTCAATTCCTTGTTCCTCAGTAAGCATCCCGGCATTCGTGTTTATTTTTACATTTCCCTTTTGCTATTGTTTCCAAGCTCCAGTGCACGGCGTTGTGAGGAAGTAGAGGAGGCACCAGCTTTCCTGATTCTGCTCTGCGGGTCTCTAGGTGGTGCTGTTTCTCCTCTCTGGTATCGCAAATTGCTCTTTATTTTTAGTAACAGTTCTTAAGGATGTTTTGCGAAGAAAGCAAAAGAGTTGGACTCTCGTTTTTGAGACTGTTTTTCTGAGACTGTGCAATATATACGTATTTTGCTCAAAGAAAGCTAGTGCTTTAGAGAAAGCGTGCAGGCTTCCCAAGTTCTCTAGTTATGAACAGTGTTGTACAGGTGTAGCTGCTTTAGTGTGGTGGAAAGCATTTGCTTACTTCTCAAGGAACAGCCAAGCAGAATCAGGTTAGGTTAAGTGTAGAATAATTTCATAGGCTTCAGAAAAAATCATGAATAAAGCTGCACAGTAAGTCAGCTATGGTTCTGGGTTGGAACACGTGCAGACCGTGAGCCTCTCGAGAAGGTGAGAAAGGCTTTAAGTGAAGTGCTCTGCAGCCCCCAAGCAGGTAGCTGGCTTTGGGAGCTGCTCGGTGCCCCGAGGCTTTCATGCCACCAGCTGCTTGTTAATCCCTGCTTACTTGTTAGGAGCCAGCCCTGTAATAACCACTCACATTCAAGAAGTGGAAAGCAGAGCCTGGTGCTTAATGCCTGTAGGCTGATGGCCCTATAAGGCCAACCATGGCAGGCTGTGGTTCTTCACCAAGCCCTAGAGCTGAGTGTGGAGGGACGGGCTGTGCTGCAGAGCTTCTGCTGGGCTCCATCAAAGTGTGGACAATTCACATCTCTTTGTAAATGTTTACTTGTTGAACAGGCTGCCAAAACAGAAACAAGGTGTCAGAGTTTCCTTTTGTTTAATGAATCTGTTTATGTGACATTTTTTTGAAATTTGGAATGTATAAATATGGCCTTTTTTAAAGAAGCCTGCAGGATAGAGTGCTCTCCAGTTTACATTTTCTAGTAATAAATGTAAATGATGGTCTTTTTTTTAAGGCAGAAGACAAGCCAAGGAAAAATGAAGAGAAAGTGACATTAGGATAGTCCTTGCAGGTTAATAATGGAATCTCACGGTGGCTTTCTGAAAGCCTGTGTCCCAGGCAAGAATCCTGGTCAAACCCCTGCTGTTCCCAGGTTCCTGCTGCACGTACCAGACATTACCACATCCATCACCCAGCCCTGCTGGGAGGAGGGCTTGTGCTGTCGTGGAGCTTGTGGAAGAAATGACATTTCCCCTTTGCTTCTTTCAAAGCACAGGTGGGTTTGTGTCGCCAAGGCTCTCTCACTGCATGTGATATCTTTGCAAAGCTCAGGAGAAAAGCATTATCTAGCCTGTTGCCTCGATGTTTGCAGATTATGCATTGCTGATTGTATTACTCTCAGCTTGCCTTGGTGTCTTTGAAATCTGCTGGCCAATTTCCACAAAATCAGGTGAATGGTTGAGGCTGCACAAGATTCCTGAGCAGCCGGGGCAGAAGAGCTTCTGTCAGTATTGCCCACCCAGGGAGGAGTACTGGCATTGTCTGACTGATGCATGCAGCCCCTCAGGGTGCTATGGGACTCTGGGACTTTGGAAAAGCAGTTTCCATTAGAACAGTGTGCCTTTCACTTCACTGCCCCCAGCAGTTCAATGCCAGCCATCTGGTGTGAAGAACTCTGGTTGCTTACCTTCCTGCTACTTAGTTTAATTTTTTTAAATAATTTCTTGGCAGGTTTTCTTGCATCCTCACGATGAAGGTGGCACGGTGCCATGTGCTGTTATCCTGGTCCTTGTGGGGACTTGCTGCTCCTGGTGCAGAGTGACTTCCTTTTAGCCCACCAGCATCCCAGATAATGTCCAATATAATCTGTTGCCTGTCTACACTGAGAGAATGACTTGTGCCTTGTTGAATTTAGGGGGAAAAGAATCAGTCTTTGTTTATAACTTCACTTTTGGAAAGCAGCTGTTAGAAGTACACAGCTGAGACCTCATGGATACCACACATCTGTGTAGCAGCTTTCTGCAGTGATAAACGATTAAATATGAAGCTTACATGTTTAGCAATGAAGAATAGATTTAAAGTTGAGGGCTAGTTGTCAAATGAGATTTAGCTCATTGATCTTGCTATAAAATTAATAAAAATGCTATTTTACTTGAACCCAGAAAGCTTTGTCATTGCAAAACAGCTCTAGTTTCTACCAGTGCCTTAGCTGCAGTTAAGAAACTTTGTTGTTGGTTTTTTTTTAAGCTCTTATGTTCAGTAAGCTTTTTTAGAAATGAAAATTTGCCTGCCTGAAGTAAATCCTTCAGATTTGATTTACACACGTGAGATACGATCCATATAGAACTTCATGTAACCTAATGCAACAGGAACAACTTTTGGAATGAGCTTAGCTGTGCAAGGTGTACCATAGCACTACACTGTTCATAGTGGCTGAAATGTAAAAATAAGATATTAGGATCCTAGTGTTGGCAGCTTTTAGTAGAAAAGTCCTGTGCCTAGCCTGCTAGCTGGAACCAAGCTGTTAGAAGCTGATGTTAGGCTGACGTTGCACGTGAGCAGCTACTTTTTCCTTATAGTAAGCATATATTTCTTGGTTGTGTGGGCTGAGGTTCTTCACATGTCAAATTCATGAGAGGTTCTGTAAGCACCTGCTGCTAGGCTGGTTAAACCTTGTTCTTTTGAACCCATCACCTTCAGCAGCAGCATACTTCTCGCTTTCAAAAACGCACAGTGAGACTCAGGAGTACTTATTTTATGAAATTTTGGGGAGATAATTTTAATTACCTTCTAATAGTTAAATTACTAAATTCAGAAAACTAAATCAACAAAACAATCTACAATATAATTGGATTTCTTATATGTACACTAAAATCAGTCAAGATTTCATGATTAAATAGGAAGTAGCATGCTAAAAAGCAGCAGCAATGGCAGCATCTCTCACATCATTCTTATGCATGCTATAAATAAGAGCAGGATATTAAGATAAATAAGACAAATGCCCTTTTAAATATCTTGTTTGTGTTCATGATGCTTTTCCTGGATTGCCCAAAGACCAAAACACTGATCTAGCAGTAAAGAGTACGTGTGTCTTGCTCAATGTCTTCAAGTTTGAATACTTGTGGGAAAATTTTTGCTAAACAAACCATAAAACTGGAGCTTAGGATTAACTATAGGATCAGTTAAAAGACCCAGACTCAGTAAGCAGCCAGCATGAAGTAAGTCTGGGAAGGAATTTAGCCCTCAGCAGTGTTCACTGATCATATCTCCTTGGAAAAGGAGAACAAAGGCTCCAGTAAAAGTTTGGGCTGGCGCATTTTTAGAACACTCTGAGCTTATCATTAGCCAAGAATAAGAGTCCACTCCACAAGAGAATGCATTATGTTCCACTAGTGCAGAATCAGTCAGTGCTACAAATGAAATGGGGCATCTGAGACAGAGCACAGCATCATAGATTGGAAATAGCTTCTTCCTTCTGGTGCTTGCCTTGCGTGTAGGTGACCTCTCGGTTCTCTTCTTTTTTGCAGCTGAAACAAGACAATTACATTAAATATTTGTAATTGCAACAAAGGAAAAGCACTATCAATTATTTTAACAGTTCCATTACTCAAGCATGAAGTTACTTTTCTCTGAACTGGTGCAGATGCCAGAGTAGCTTATTGTTATGTGTGTTTCAGGAGAATGCTGTGTGCTAAATGCCAATCACAAAGTTATACGAGCAGGCTGTAGAAAAGTTTGTCATGTCAGTCTTTTTCCCAGAATTTGGCTCTGGTGTCAAACAGTCTGCCTGAAAGGCCTCTTGTCAGTGCAGATTGTTTCCCCTTAGGTAGTGTGACCTTTGGGAGAGATTGTCTCTAAAATTATTCCCTCTAGTTTCACTTCTTGTTTTTCCATGAAAAAAGAAGAAATGGCAACTGGAGAGGCAGAAAAACTGCAAGTTTGTTGTCTAACCCATGTATGCATTCTGTTTAGTTTGGAAAGGGAGTCTCATTTCATAACTGTTTGTGGGAATAGCTTAACTGTCATGTGTTTTTGCCTTCTCCCTTGTACTCATATTTTTTTTTCCTATTTCTTGTCTTTGTATCTCTGAGAAGCATTGCTATAGTTGTTAACTATGGCACTGTCAGTATAATGAACTGTGGTGCTATTTATCACAAAAATCAACCATTCCTCCAGTGGAAACAAATCCCTTAGGTAGATCCTTCTCAACCACACACACACATTTTTGCTGGCAATGAAACAGAACTACTTTGAAGTATATGATACTGAAGAAATAACATCTACTGTGATTAAAAATCTCGAAGGAGGAGTTAATATATCCTAAAGATCAAATGTTACCACTGTAAAAATCATCCTGGTTTTCAGACACAGAAGCACTTCTCTGTATTAAAGAAAAAAAAAATGGTTTCACTTGTTTTCCTGTGATATGACAGCAGAACATCTTACCTTTTCCTCCTGCATAGGCAACAGGCTACTACAAGAAAGATGAGAACTCCCACAACGCAGGCTATCACAACAGAAACAAGAACACCTAGAAGAAAAGGAGAAGCATACAAAACAGCTGAATTCATTTACCAGAGAGGAAGAAGCTGGACACTGATCTGTCATACCACTTTCTTCCCACATCTGCAACTGTCCTGCCATATTGTATGCACTGCCACTTGTATCACCTTTGCAGTCATGGAATGGATAAATATGCACAGATGTTATCAGACAGTCCCAATCCCACAACTGAGTCTATGGTTAGGATGTCAAATCAGATGCCTGCTGGAGTCACAACACCAACATACAGCCAAAGGCATAGCAGATGTCTTTGGGTTCCTGGGCACAGGCTGCCCAGGGAAGCTATGCGTATCCCATCCTGGAGGCATTCAAGGCTGGGCTGAAAGGAGCTGTGGGCAGACCTGATCTGTGGGTGGCAACAGGCTCACAGAAGGGGGTTGGAGCTCGATAATCTTTAAGGTCCCTTCCAATCCAAATCATGATGTGATTCTGTGATTTGATGCTGTAACATATTTGCATAAGCAAAAATGAAGAGCTAAACTCAGGGAACAAAGGATGTTAGATTTGATGCCTGTTGTTTTTTCATGGCAGGATGCTACTGAATGTGAGCAGTTGAAGAGTGATGTGCTTTGTCTTTGATAACGTTGATTAAAGGCACCTAAAAAGGTAAGAATGAAATCCAGATGGCAGTATGAACAGCTGAATGATCTCATGCTTGCATTGAGATGTTAAGCACTATCGCTGTAATCTCACTTTTGATAAAGACCTTCATATATAATTTTTACAGTAAAAGTATTTCTGCTATTTTGGCCTACCCGAAGACCACGAAGGTGAGTACTCTTCACATTTTCATATTTCATTCACACGCTATTTTTTATGTTTTATCCAATGACTGGTTGTCTCTAAGTAAAGGCAAGTTTTGCTACAGTGAAAGTGCATCACATGGGCAGCAAAATGTCACACCAAATAGAAAATTACAGAACAAAAGCTTGTAGTTTAAAGAGGAGAGGTAGGGAAAACTCCAGTTCATATTTTAGATTTCTGTTTGACGAGGACATCTTGGGAAATTCAGATAGAAAGCTTTTTAACAACTCTACACACCTGTTCCTCTTTAATTTGTGAGCAGTGGAAAGTTTGAGTCTCTAGAGGTTCTTTCCAATCCCTGCAATTCTGTGAATGCTGTAATAAATCTCAGCTGTGTGTACGTGGAGCTGATTTTATTGGAATAGGCTCCTAACAGGCAAAATACATTTTAAGCATGCTTGAGTTTTGGTGAGTGATCCTCTGGGATTTGAGACATTTTGAACTTTAGTGCTTATTCATGGTGAGCATGAGTTTAGATTTTAGTCACTGGCATCCAAACTTGGATGATCTAATACTTCAGTTATTTGAATTTGGGACACAAAGCACAGTTTGGTGGCTCCATCATGTGGCATCCACGCTCTGATGAAGATAAGCAGCTCTCAGACTTGACATTGCAAAGGCAGAAACGTTGCTCTGAAGAAGTGCTTTTAGGTTGAGGTCTTTTGAGGCCCCTTTTTTTTCCTTTTTTTTTCCTTTTTTTTCCCCTTCCCTTCCCTAAGGGACTGCACCTGTGAGGGAGCTTTTGTGGCTGGAGTAGGTGGAATGTGAGATTACAGGAATGATGAATACCTTTCTTGCAGTGGGTAGAACACTTTTGCTGTGGTTCACTGGTGGCCAATGAGCCTTTGTAATTAAGTGTACTTAGACCGAATGGGGTTTCTATTAAAGTAGCACTGAGCAATGCCTTCTGTAGCCATAGAGATTGGTTCTTGGGTGAGAACAATGGGGTGGGCAATAACCCATACAACTCAGCCCTAGTAAGTTATGCCAACATTAAGGAAAAGCTGAAAATGCTTTTATAGCAGGTGTCACCTCTGCATGGGAAGCAAACAGTGTAGCTTAGTAGAGGAAGAGCCAAATGTGGTTCACAACAGCAATTTTGAAAATGTCACTTCTAGGTCAAATTTGATCCTATAGATAGACGTAATAATGCTTATCCCATTTCTGTGAAATGTTTAGATCCCTAGATCAAAACCTGTCTAATTTTTTATTGAGTTATTGAGATCACGGATTGTAACTCATTACTTTAAGAATTGAGTGTGATTTACAGAGAGACAGTAGACAGGTGCAGCAAATACAGCTTAAGACCCAGATGGAAAACAGCATTTCTCATCCCTGACTGTTGTGAATCACATTAGCAAACCAGCAACATATGCTTGCTTACTTTCATGAATTGAGAGGAGAGAAAAAGTGGAAGTTGGATCACCTAAGATTCTGAGTCTTAAGCACATGGTATCTGCTTGTTCCAGAACTTGTTATTTCAGTGTTTCTGCTTGAAAATGTCTTTAGTAAAGTGTGCATGGATTTAAGTTAAGTTCTTTATTGTCCAAGCTTACTTGGTTTCCCTCTTTCCCCAAACTTTGGGAATTAAAGCTCTAGCAGCTCTAGGATATTCAGTCCTAGAGAAGTGCAAAAAAGCAGAAGCCAGTTATTTTTGAGATTTCTATCATGTTTGTTTGCAGCATGTACTGCAATTTACTCTACTTTGTGCACCAAAGAGATAATCATGCTATGAGTAGGCCTGTCCAGTGCCAGTTAGTTGCAAGGCATGCTTCATACCCTGCATGTGACAGTAGAAGGATGTCATGGGTTTCTCTTATGTTATTGAAAAGTAAAGCTTGTGGTGAGAATTTTCTCAGTATAGATATAGATAACTCCTGTGTTTTCTAATCTTCCATTTAGACAAGAGAAACTAGTAGGCAAAGTTAATATGACATGCTAAAATGTTTTATTAACTTGAAAGCTTACTGCATGGCTAATCCTTTTCATGTGGTCTGCTTTTTCTTTCAGAAACATTTTATTCTCAATTTCAAACTGTGTAGTGCTTTGCCTAGATTGCCCTCTGTGTGTGCCAGCTTTACAACTGCTTATGAGTATTTGTTTGCAGGACAGCACAGCAATTAGAGCAATGCATTTTGCATAGAAAAGATACTCAGATGCCTTACTGTGGGGCTCAGTCAAATGACTTTCTCATAAAATGACTGATTTTTTTCACCTGTAACACTGGATCATACAATATACAGTGTTACAAGTTATTTTTACTTATCAAATTTGAGTTTCTCTTGAGGACCTTTTCCAACTCTCTATAATTACCCCAGAACAGTCTCCCTGAAATGCAAAGCTGTGATTCCTTCTAAACTTGTTGACTGCACAAAAGTAGGCCTGATATTACTGGGAAACAGAGATGTAACTGGGGAGAGAAGGCCAGCTCAGTTAAGCTGGCTGAAAGCATTCAGCTGTAGAGAGCTATTTAGTGTTTGGAGTGACAGCAGATAGCTCTGCTAGGCACGAGGAGCTGGTCTGCCTCCCTTCTTCCCCTTCCCTTTGATCGGGGTCAGAAGGGTTGCTTGGTGTGGCATGTCTGATAGCTGCTGTGAAACAGAACTTTGTGTATACTCTTTGAATGCCATCACTCTTACGTAGTTACCCATGCAGGAGGGGAGCAAAAAGAAAGCTAATTGCAGGAGAGTGGAGCTCTGGTACTTCTGTGCTGGTACAGTGGAACAGGACTGCTACATTGATGTTTCAAGTTTACCCAAACAACTGTGTGCTATGTCTTTGCACAGAAGCGTTTGTACAGCTTACCTTCGCGGAAGGAGATAAAAACAAGTCTTTCACGAAACTCCTGAACGTTTCGGAAGTTATTGACCATTTCCAGGGGTTCTGGGTCATCACTCTCTGTGCAATACATGGCTGTTTCCAGTGCCAGCAGCTGTAGAGGAAAGCACACTGTTCAGCTTCCAGAAGCAGAAAAGACAGTGCTGGTGTATCGCTGACAGTGTCTGTTGGAATGTACAGACGTAGTCAAACAGAAAGGGGTACATGAAATAATACTTGGAAGTCTTACATGGCCTGTGAGCCAAATAGAGAGTAATGTAAAAACACTGGTGACATCTCTGCAACCCCTACCTGTATGTGTGTTTTATATACTGAAAAAATAAAGGCTGGTTAGTAATTAGCTGACAGGAAAATTGAACGGGAGGAAATGTGATGGTTCTTTGCAGCACAGTCTAAATCCTAAGCAGTACTCTGTCATGAAGGAGCTCACCAAAGAACTCATGCTTTGGTAAAACAGTCTGCTACAGTGGATGAGTTTAATAATTGACTCTCATCGCTGGGAGCGCATGGTAATTAAATCTCATATTAAAGGTGATAATAACATTTTTAGTAACATTTTTTTCCTTGTGTTTATAATTAGATGAATTGGAAGATAGTGATTACAAACTTTTGTAATTCGTCAGTGTCCACTTGAAAACAAAAAAAGCTAATTAGATGAGAACAAAAACCTTAAGTTAGAGAAAATTCTGGGGATTCAGGCTTGACGAATTATACATCACAAGCTTTTTAGAAACATTAACATCTACTCAATCTATCATGCTTAAGTTAGTCAGGATCAGAGGAACTTAGAGTTTAGGGTTCAGACATGAAGCCTTGGCAAAAATGATCTGGTAGTGACTCGTGGAAAGACTCTCAGCAGAGAGCAAGCACAAAGTAAAAATAAATGAATCTCACTTTGTGATTTTTCAAGCTGTTACAATACCAATTGCTATTCAATTGACTGTCCATCATTTTGATCAACTGAAGATGGGTTAACTCTATAATGAACAGGGTATTGATTTATGTCAGCTCTGTGGCATGCACCCCACCTGAAAGGTTTTAGCAGTAGTCACTTTCCAGTTCAATAAGAAAGTAAGACAAATCCAGGAAAACAAATCCAGAATATCCATTTGCTTCTCCTTAACAAACATCAGTCAGGACAATACGTGCTGTTTTAAACTTGCCTGCTCTTGTGAAATTGTAACGGGGTGCCGGAAGACTGTCCAGAGAACGCTTGGGTAGCAAGGAGGAGTTGTCAGGGATCCTTCATAGCGATAATATTCATCTGGTCTGTCAGGAAGCAGTTCCTGAACGTTGAAACCAGGGACGTGGACCATCTGATCTAAAACAGAGGATTTAACAGAGTGTTAAATGCTGCATTATTACTGTGTGGATGGTATACTAGTGTAGTGATTCTGCTTTGCAGTAAGCAGGGTGCTTTGTCTGATCACTAGGAAAAGAAAAATACTTTTTAGTGGAGATGATCCCAGTTTGACAAAGGAAACCCAAAAGTCTGCATTTCCTATATACAAATCTTGTCATAGATACCAAATCAGAATTTTATGCAATAACCTGTAGCCATATTAATCAAACAACAGCTGGTGCAGGAAATAAGGCCCCATGGGTATGTGTATTTTGCTAGCTATACACTCTCCAGAGTAATGCATTGAATATTCAAAGTCTCTCAGCTTATGACTGCTTTGCCTGGGATTGCAGGACTGTTTCTGCAGCTGGTTCAGCCTGTCACAGGGTACCTGTCTGGTACCTATCCGATACTTCAGAACAGCCACTCACCCTTATATTTCACATTCCGGAAGTGCCTGAAGATCTTTTCATATGATGGGTTGAAGGGTCCAATCTGTAATGAGCAGACTGTTAACAACTGTGCAGGTCCTTGTGCTTCTGCACATAGCAGCAAGCAGTATTTGATGAACTCTGTCCTAAGGAAACTGTGTACGCTGTCCAGATTTAAATTAAACAGAATTACTCTTTGCAACTGAAATATTACGTACCATTCCCAGTAAGGCTCTTAGTCTGTCTGTGGCTATTAAAGGTGCTTTGTTACACTCAGGTCTTAACTGCAGCGTAGTCCTTTTGCACACACTTGAAAAGCTGAGTTGCTTTGCCTGTTCAGCCTGCAGCACAAAGGAGGAGTAGCCATTTCCTCTGAGAACATCAATAGACAGAAGTTCTCAACTGACAGACTGCTCAGCTCATCTTCTTCTTTCTAGTCCAAGCCACATCTTTCCACCCACAAACGTTCCTCAGTCTGCTGCTCCTCATAGACCACGAAGATGAAGAATGAACTGTTGGGTAATGCAGGGCCACTGGCAGGGGCAGTAACTCAACTAGCAAGCAAGACCATGTGTTTTAACTGCTACCAACAGCTTTTTGGTTTAATAATCGGTGTCTGTCTTAGGAATTCTTGGGTGCTTAGCAACTCCTCTGACAGCAGACATGGTAAACTGGTGTCCTTAGCTGAACTGTAAAAGCTGCAGACTGCCTGAAAGGTTTTCAAAGACCTAATCACCAGACTTAACAACATTCCCTTATTTGATTTTAAACACCATTATTTGGGGGAAAAAAAATCATAATCCTCAGCATAGTATACAGTACTCTGAAGCTATTCACAGCTGCAAGTTCCCAATGAACTGAAATGTAGCACAGTTACTGACAAATTCTTAGAACTTCTAGGAAGTGAGATGGGATAATAGCCACTTGAACTAGAGCTTGGTCTGTGGACATTGTCACTTTTTCAATGAAGTGTAGAAGTATTTTCAGACTTTGAGCAAAGGATTTTTTATGCTGCAGAACATTAAAAATTGTCTTGATAGTTAAGCTTATTCTATTAATTAAGACTTTTAATTCTCAAGAAAATATAGATTTATATACGTACAAGCTTGTCAGAATTGTTTCTTAGCATCATTATTACCTTTAATTGCCTATATGTGTGGTGTCAGAGGGCAATATAGGAAACTTGTACTGTCATCTAAAAAAAGCACTGAATTTACTTGCTTATAATTTTGTACTGCTGCTGTAGTCTGTGATTCAGATATTCTCAGAATCAATCTTGCATCCTGAAAACGATGGTCACATCCTGATTATTTTAATTGCCGAAGGACGAGTTGTGTCTGTGTGTTTCTGCTGGGCTGACACTGCATTGTTCTATAGTAAGCAGGTTTGAAATTCACAGTTGCCTGTTGTTTGATAAGCTAGACACTACTTAGCTTGTGAATGAATACAAAAATTGATTTAACAATCGAAGTGATTTTACTGGAAAACATGAGGAAATACTCAGAACTCCTCTTTTCCTAACATTGGTACCTATTTACATGTGTGCTGATGGAATCTGGCCTTTTTAGTGAATCAGAAAAAGAGGAACACTTATTCAGCTGCAGTATTGCAAATTAACCTAAAAGTGTTACTTTAAAGCTCACTAGTAACTTAATTGTTGAAAGAATATTAAAAAAAACAACCAAACAGCACCCCCCAGTCTTGTGTCCTACCTCAAGAAGAATGGCCAAAACTGCCAGTCCGTTTGCTTTGTCCATTGCTGCTGTTATATCTGGATATTTCTCAGAGTTATAATGTACAATATGCATCTACAGAGAAGGAGATATGTTTTCATGATAATGCTGTGGGCATGGTAACGTTTTTATTTAGCAACTGAAAAAGATGAGTGCAGCCATCTCAGGCTAACAACAGTAGAATAGCATTCTTCAGTGGATTCTGGGCATAGTGGTGAGATCCTTTCTGGAGAAAAGCAAAAGGTTTGAAATACCCATTCCCAGCTCCTCTCTGGCTGTTATCCCTCCTGTCTACATGACTGGGGAGCAAAAAGAATGATTGTTTCATCTTCAAGGCGCCTTGTTTGTAATACTAGCATTGGCAAATGTTTCTGGAAAAACAGTATTTCTTTTGATTGTTTTGCAGTAAATATCCAATTGGTGCTGCTTTCCAAAATCTATTCCCAAATCCATAATTTAGGATTAGGAAAGATAATAAGTAGTTCTTCAATGGAACAAAAAAAGTGCGAATAAAGATAGGAGAAGAGCATTTGAAGACATTGTTCAAACCCAGCCAAGCAGTGTTGTGCAGCTAAAAGATTACAGAGAAACCAAGCAATCTGCTTGAAATTACTTAAGAGACCCAGTGCCAGCCCTGAGTTTAGAATATAACTCCTTGACTTGTAGTACTTTGGAGCCCACCCTGTTTGTGGTTCACAAAGCATATTTTAATTATACACTCAGATCATAAATACTTGGATTAGAACCTTGCAGCATTTTCAGTCATACACCAAAGGTAAAGATCCCATTTGAGATAGTGCCTGGCCTTCTTTATTTCATTCACTGATTTGAGCATGTCTTACCTCTGCTGCAAAGTGCTTCCCGCTGACTGTGTGCTCTGAGCCTTCCGACTTGTTTCTGTTTCCCCAGTGCAGGTGAAGTTGAGATGCAGTGTATTCAAAAGGGAGGTTTCTGATATGCATGGTAGGTGACAGATGCATTTTCACTGTAAGCAGACCGAAGGCAGGTGGGGGCAAATAAAGCTACGACAACTAAACATAATATGCAGGGAAAGAACAAAGCAGAATAGCTGCATTTTTAACTTGGAATCCATCCCAGTCTGTCGGTAGGAGCTAAACACTTCAGTTGTCATTAACTCTTTCTAAGCGATTCAGAAGAATCTAGACTATTCCTTTTTCTGCTTTCTTTGACTAAATGAACTGAATGTGGGAATTATTGCTAATGGAAATCTCTGTCCTCCTTGAAGAATGCAAAATTATCTCAGCTTTATTAAAGAGAAAGTTATCAAAGTATTGAAGCAAAACTCAGGCTCATATGCCTTCTCTAATTCCCCTTATAACGGTTAAAATGTGTGAATAAATTAATATTTCATAGTATTTTTGCAATCTTGTTATATTGAACTCCTCTGTCTGTTAATCCTCGCTCAGCAGCCTGTGTCCACACCAAACTACTGATCTCTCCTCCCTTCCCCTTCCTCAGTCAAACCCAGAGTGCTGCTGTCAAGCAGCAAGATACCTGTTGACCTAAAATATTAGTATTTCCTCCTTCAGCATGGTGGAATGAGCTTTTTTGTATACTTGCTAATGCTGCTCAGCGTGGAGAACAGAGTAGCATATATTTTGTGTATAAATTACAGTAGAAAGGGAATTGAGATGTTCTCTATTGTCATTAATTACCGAGAAATTTGGTACTTCATTAAACAATGATTTGTATAAAGAAAAGATCATCTGCTTTGCAATTTATCTTTACTGGTTTCCAGTGAGAATATAATTTGTTTCTGACATGTTCCAGATTTGCTGGGAAAACGAGGCTCAAAACTCATGAAGGAGCAGCTGCAAACACTTTCTGTTAGCTAAAAAGCATTTCTTGAGGTCTGCTGCTCTGTCTAGCTGAAGTAGGTAATTGCATCTGGCTTAACTGGCAGAGAAGTGCCTTAGCTATGTGTAGGAGTGACTGATGTGACAGTCCTAATTAAGTACCCTAATGATTTCTTCTCTAGCCATAAGAGAAGATAACAGCAGATGCTGTAGTGATCACTCTAACAAACAGTTGATTTTCCATTGAATCAACTGAGAGATTGGTCTTTACCTGAAGAATGTGTTTATGATGCTGTACGGAGCAGCTTTACCTCACTGAAGGCATGAGGAAAAAATGAGAAGTATGCATTGCGAGCACACTTTAACAGAGCATGCCGGAGAAGTGCAGAGGCAAAGGCTGCAGAGGTTCTTTTGATGCTTAGAGGATACAAGAAATGCCTTATACATGTCCTTATTTACATGTCCTCAAGTGTCTCGTGAAGGGAAAAAATGATGGGACTAACTTAACTGTTACTGTATGTAGTGTTGATACGGTAGATATTGCAGATCTTTGTGTGACTGCATTCTTTCTGCTTTTTACTTTGTGTACTGACACTTTTGATACAGCCAGGCAGGGCATGTTTGTAAGCTGTTTCTAATTATTTTTCTGTTCTTTTATCTATTTGTCTTATCCTACGTTATAGGAGGTTTCTACCTCAAGTCAAAGGAACAGAATAGTGCTCCTTTGTTCTTTTTCTTCCTTGTAACTCAACAGAGCTGCTTTGATTAGAATATCAGAGATCAACTGCACTCATATTTTATCAATTTTTTCTTTCTAATATAATCACCAAGTCTGTTTCAGAGCTCTTCAGCCAAAGTAGGAAGGAAAGCTTTCAAAGGCACAGGAATTATTTTTGACGTGCCTGTAGCTTATTGAAGAAAACCACAGTTTTTCAGTTCTGCTTGCAGCAAATCCATCTGTGCTTTGTAAGTTCCCAAGTTTCCCTACCGTGTTCTCTAGATATGCATATGCTGATGAAGAGGCATCATAGCTTAACTTCAAATGATAATCAAAGTAATTTGTCCATAAACTACATACCATACAAGATTACAAACTCCAGCAACTTTCCTACATAATTGTTTGCTGTCATTGAGCTCCCTTACCTGAATGCCCATTATTAGTCAGTGTAAACTGGTCAGTGGAGGACACATTATAGCCTATGAATTCTAAAGGTGAGAGATTAGAATCATATTGGAGAATATCTTTGTGAAAATCTATTGGTGATTGAAATACTCCTCCACAAAACGGGTATTTCTTCGGCCAGGTGTTCTCTCCATCAGGACCTACATAAATGGACAAAATTGACATTTGTCAGCCTTAATTCTATCCAGTTAGCACCTGCCTTTCCCTCCCCCAGACTGATTCAACTATCATTCAGAATTTGGAAGAGGACCCTCTGCTGAATTTTGAAGATTTTTTTTTTTTAAATTCAGCTTTTCTCAATTCCTGTTTCCAGTATGCCACTTAATTGAAAGGGGCCGAATTACCATAGTAAGATGTGTTTGCTGGCGGAGGAAGTGCCAGCAGAAATCTCACATAGAGACGATTCACCATCCCTTGGTTCTGGACAACCTTGGCTGCCATTTCATCTAACCCCGTTGGGGGTAGCTCAGTGGATTAGGCCTCTGGTAACAGCACCACAGCCAAACGCAGTGCTTTTGATCCTCTAGTGGTGGTATTGTCTCTCCTTGAAGTCCTCATGCACAAGTGAAACTGGATGTATGCCAGCGTTATTTACTGATGTGAGTGACATTTCCCTATAAAAGTTACAGGTGTGTGCATGTTAATGTGGCTATTCCTGCATTCTGAAGAGAATTTCTGACAGAAGTGACTTCATGTTGATAGAGGAAAGCTTCCATATTTTCCAGCAAACAGAAAGCCAGATCCTTTTCCTTATCATACAAATCATTGGGCTCCATCTAGTAATATTACCTACATCACAGTAAAAAGCTAATTTGCAGAAATGAGGTGTTGTGGTAATTTGACCTGTAATAACTTGATCAAACTCTTGCAGAATTTTTTCCTCACAACCTTTTGCCCTAGGCAGTCTCTACAAAGAATAGATAACATCAAGACATTGTTGGTCTGTTTAATTACATATTAATAGCAAGCAGCTGTTCACAAGCTCTAAGCTGGGACTGTTTGGGTTTAAATTCCAGAAGATAGGCTTGTAACTTTCGTTTCTCTCTAATACTTGAAGATTCATTGATTCTTTCTAAAGCAGGAAGATCTTCTGGTGTCACACAGACTGATCTGGTAACCCAGACCATTGGACCTCCTTGGATCAATTACTACTTTAAAGAGGCTGTATTTTTGAAGGGGAGGGGAGGGGGGAATAGTCTTTCTTTAACTGTTGTGGATAAGAGATACTTCATTCTTGCCCAATGGATAGTTGCTCTCTCTGGAAGCTTGTTTGTCACAATGAATTTGTCCAGATTTGACTTTATTTAGATAGCAGCTGCTTGAAGTCTTTTGCTTGGAAACTGAGGAGCCTACTGTGAGCATGCTTGTGTTCATCTGGTAGTACTTACAGAGGACGTTGTTTCTTGCTTCTCTTAAACTAAATAGATTTAGTTCCTTATTTTTTTCTTTTCCAAGCCCAAAATAGCGCTTCTGACTTTTTTGTCATCTGACTGAGATGTTAGAGCAGATGGTCCTTCAAGGATGACAGTGCTTGTGGGACTTGCACATGGGCTGACCAACAGAAGAAGAAAGCGGGTCTGCGAGGTGCCTGTGTTACCAACAGTCTTTTGCTCTGATGATCAGCTTATATCCATGTTGCTCGAGGTTCTCACAGAAGATCCAAGTTCTCTTAATCTGTAGTCAATTAAGTAGTAAAATGCATTGGGTCAGTAGCACGGGGAATGTCTGTGGTATTTTGCAGTCACGCAGAGCACTCTGCCCCTGTTTTCAGCCAGCTGGAAGCTGTACAGCTGCAGTTAGCCCAGGGCTGAGTCAGTAGTGAAGGCTGAGAGTGTAGGCTACGTGCCACAGCAACATGACCACATGGTTTCCATTTTGCTCAGAGCACAGCCTGAGCTCAGTCTGCACGGCCAGTACGTGTAGATCTCTTGCGAGTGTGTCCAGTGGGAAGCTTGTGAGTTAGAGGAATCGCAGAATCCAAAGAAGTGAAGCACAGGTCTCCAGATTGGCACCTGAATTTCTCCTCCACCCTTAACCTTGTACCTTGACCCTCAATCTTGAGATCACCCTGCCTGCACTGACTGCAGTGGCCTGACTTCCTTTGTTTTACTGTTGACTTAATTTTACTGGGGAGCACTGCAAGCTCTTACAGGGGTAAAGGTAAAAACAGTGGAAGGTGAAGGCTGCCATAATGAGTTGGTGTCAGTAGGAGATTATGGTGGATAATTTCTGGCTTTGACTTTCCAATTACCATTTTTCTCTGTGCAGATCAACATTCCTTTTTTCCAGAAAAGAAGCTTTCTGTGCATTTCAATTGCTATTTTGATTTTTTTGAAGTTGCTGGTATGTGTTTTCTAAATAGATTTAAAAAACAGTAGTTGAAGGAAAAAATGACTACTTTAGAAACAGGATTGCAATGTCAAAGCACTTAACTGGAAGGCATGAGGCTGAGTACTGTGGGAACACAATCTGAATAATACACTGATACCAAAATTCCCCCAGATTCCTGCAGAAGCAACTAATTTGAACATGCGTGGCACTGGGAAGAAGGGCAGAACTTCTCCTTTGCTGGTAGTAAAAGAAGCATTTTCCTTACTAACCAGCACAGTTAGGCTCATCTGCTTGCTGCTGGCAAGGTGAAAAGCCCAAGCTTCTTTTATTCGAAGTATGTTGAACAATTTTTGCTAAATGAGAATATGAAATCTGTGTGCATATGTTGATGGTTACGGTAATACCTAAAGACGTGTCAGCTGACAATTCTCTTACACACTGGTAATCTGGAGCACAGGCAAAGCAAGCAGTTGTCAGCAGCAAGTTAAATCACAGAGATTCCTGGAGTTGTTGGCTGCTCCAAGGGCTTATGAAGAAGCATTTTTTGCTGAGATTCTCAGTACAGAATGCTTCTCTGTGAGCGTGTGGTGTGTAAAACACAGCTCTGAATGGGGAAATTCTGGCCAGAGGATTTGTTCGATTAAAATAAAATTTCTAGTTAATTCTAGTCTCTAGTTAATTAATGCCCAAATTAGTTAGTACTTACCAATATAGGACCATTTTGACCCTGTTTAAGAACAAACAAAATATTAGTGTGAATCTTTGAAATTGAGCATACACTGTAATTAAAGAAAGAAATTGCCCCTTAAATCCATGTACTGAAACTTACTTTCATCTGACTTTCTATGTCCAGATGTTGAGCAAAACAAAGAAGTTTTCAAAGGTTATGAGCCCTTCTCAACCACATTATGACCAGGGTTATTCAGAGATTTTGCCTAGGACTTGACTTTCTTGTGGTTGCTTGAATTCTGGGGCCAAACTTTTTTTCTTCTCTCTCTCTCCCCTTTTTTTTTTTTTAAATAGCCACAGACTATATGTAGGCATCCCCGATTTCTTCTGGTGAGACAAATAAGGAGTGTGGGCAGGATGAATATGTCATCAAAATCCCCATGTCTAATTGAGCTGTTTGAAATGCATCAGGGGATTGCCTGTTGCTGCCCTGAGAAATGAGAGGCAGTCCTTTCTGCACAGGTTCTCTGAGATTTGCCAGCTGAACTGTACAGAAAATAGATGGACTTTGGAAAAAGAGGATGTGATAAAGGAACCGACATAACTCAGAAAATTCCAGGGGGTTGAGTGGGTGCTAAAATGATCAATATTCATCCATTGCTTAAGGAACAGAATGTGGAACAGTGCCTTTGCATGCCTTTTGAAATGTCTTGACTTATTTTATTTTTTTTCCACCCAGTCTACTTACAGTCATTCAGCTTGCTGTGTAATTACTGGCACCTGTCCTGGCAGACCTGAACAATTGTGGTTATCAGGCTTAGGAGGCAGTTCTGGATGACAAGTCCTGCAAACACTCCATGTGCTTGTGTATGCATGTGTGCAGGCAGATATTTATCCATAGTTGCACACATTTGCTCAGAACCTGATTCATGGCTTTGTTTTTTGTACTCTGCAGTGTACTCACAGCTCTTAGCCAAAAACTGTTGTGTGAAATGTTTGGGATTAATTTGTGGGGATGTGCAAAACAGCTACGCTTTGCTCTTTCATATTGCTACATGCTGGAAACACTGAGCCCTGTGGTTCCAGCACATCAGGACCATTGAGCCTTGCTCTATTATAGTGGAATTTTCAAAACAAGATGTGTACAATTACCCTGGCTGGATTCCCCAGGTTCCTTCTGCAGGAGTCCTTCTGCACTGTCTTCAATTGCTACATGAAAAACCTGATACGCTTCTCCCCTTCTGTTTGCTGGGATTGTCCCTCATTGAGGTTTTTGGGGCTGCTTGTGTCCTGTGGTCAGCACGCTCTGTAGGTACCACTTGCATACAGATAGTTATCAGCTGTCAACATGCTTTAAAAATCCCCACATCCTCATTTGAGCAAGGTTTGAAGAAGCATTGGCTTAACTGAAATAGCTGATCTCCACACCTGCTCCTACTTCATGTTAATATATGCATGAGGTATCCAAACCATAAATATATGTATGTGTATTTATAATATAGAACAACCTTAAAACAAGAAATTTCAAAGATTTTCAGCAATTTGGGCTTTTATTCCAAATAAAAACAAATAAAAACTTTAAGTCTTTTACCAAGTGAAATTTTCCTTAGCCTGTGAGCATCTTTGATGCTCTGTGATTCACTACCCTTGTGCCTTTACTGATGAGCACAATTGTAGCTAGTGCTATGAGGGAGATGAGCAGACAAAAGATGGCAGAATCTTCTTGATTTTGTCTGAATTGAGATGTCAAAGCTACATCAGAGCTACAGAGGGAATTGATTTACTGTCATCCTCATATTGTGAGCAAGATTGGTGTTACGTTTACTCTGCTTGATAATGAAATCAGAATGAAGCAGATTGTTACACAGTCTCCTGAATTTGGACAGAAGTCTGATTCACACCTAGTGTTCACCTACTACCAACAGCTCCATGTCTGTGAGGACTTTCTTGCCTCTGCGCTTGTCCTGCAGTGAGTGCTGATGAATAACACAGCTACATGCCTGCATATGCCAGAGGAGTTTCCTAGAACCTAAAGTGTATCTAGGTTTCATCAATATCCAGGGAATAGGTGTGTTTCCAGTAACACCTGTGAGCTGGTGAAGTGGGAGGGGAAAGTTGTGACAATCTGCATCTTATTTGGGTCTCTGACTTGGGAAGATGTCAAAAACAGGCAGGTGCTGTAGCTCATACCATTTGTTGGCACCAGCTGTCTCATTCCAAACCAGGAGTTCTCCAGATTTCCCTGCAGGATGCATTGTCAGAATACTTTTTCAATACATCTTTTCACTTCCAGGCCTTCATGTTGCCATTCTGCAGAGCACCAAGCCCTAAAAGCCTATGCTTTTCAGGTGGGAGATTCTGCCATTTAGCAATTTTTCAGAGGAAATATGCCTGAAATAACAAGCTGAGCTGAGAAGTTGGAATTCTATCCTGTGTAGCTCATGCTGAAAACCTGGCAAAATACTCATCCTGGCAGGGCTGCACAAGAAGCAGACTGCTTTGGATTACGTGCAAACCTTCAGGTTTTTCCTGCCATGAATATTCATGCTCTCACATAACTCTATACTATGATTCTCCCCCCTATCCTATAATCATGCCAGGTGGATTATAATAAGCTTGAATGGATGAAAATTAACTCCTAAAAAGAAAGTGAGGAGTACTGATCTCCTGAAACTGGTCCCATGTAAATATAAGGCAGTGAGGTTTATTACGTGGGAAATGGGGCGCTTCACAGGGCTTACATTCTTTTTGTTTGGTTTAAAAATAAGAAGAGCAGAGGGAAAGATGTTATGGTTCCAGAGAAAGGCGTTGCTAACACCGAAGAAGGCCAGTCTCACAAAGCAAGGCGTGCTGAGCACACAAGTGGTCTGTAACATGAACTAAATCAGAGGACAGATTTCTGTTTCCTTTCTAAATCAGAAATTGAAGTAAGGACACCGATTCCAAACAATTGCGATTGCAACAATACACAATGTTGAGCATGCTATTGAAATATTAGTTTAAAAAAAAAAAAATTAAGAGCAGTGTTAGTTTTCTGCATACATGAGCTACCCAGCAATAAGAGCAACAATAAAATAGCCAAAAGATTTTACCATTCAGCGACGCTGGTACCGAGAGTTGTATCTTTAGGAAGAAAATGAGCACAGTAGTGACTATAGCTCTATTGCAGCTCTTGACTGACATCTCAAGGAAAGACTTGTAATATACCAGCAGTCCACACGTTTCTCTGTACTCTGAAGAAACTCCCTTGTAGGTATCTGGCAAACTGCAAATTGCACGCATGCAGACCTTCTGCTAATGAGTTATTGCTCTTCTGTTTCCTTGTCTCTCTCCCTCCTTTCAGGTCTGCTTTTTATAAAGTTCCTCGGACTCATCCCAAAACAAGTGATGTAATCAGACCTGCCTCTAGGTCACAGCACCCTCAGAAAGCTGATCCTGTCCTTGATTACCACAATTTTACCAAACTTCTGAGGGGACCGACTCCAGTACTTATAAAGCAAATTAAGATGTGGAACTTAAGAAATTATGTAGCAGAGAGAGCTTATAGAATGTGTCCTTTGCTTTTGTGAACCAGACCACAGCAGAGTTTTTCTAACCTATTTCAGAGCGGCTCTCTAAACTCCCATTTTTGGATCAGCATGATTTTAGCATAAAGGGCCACTGTGAGAACTGGAGGGAGGGGAAGCCAGAGGAGGGCGAGAGAAGTGAGGCTGTGTGTGGCACTCTTCATACTTCTGAGGGACCATGGACACTTCCCAGGAAAAAAAAAAGCCCATCTTGTCAGGAAGAATTTTTCTTTAAGATGAAAGCTCTTGGAACTGAGAGAATACAAGGAGCAGAGAGAAATGAACGTTCATGAAGCAACTGCCCCAGATGCAGAGGCTATGTTCAGGACGTGTGGGGAAGGATAGAGAGGAGCACAGAGCGTAGATGATGTCCTCTTCTGAAGGTGATTGAGGAGTAGCCTCTTAAACTGAATACATCATGGATAGCTGAGGAGAGGGAGGTGGGATTGGAAAGACTATTAGTTGTTCCAGTTGTGTACATTATTATTGATAACTGTTATTAACTACTTACTATGTCTTAGTAACAACCATTTAGCACATAATACTTTTGAGCATCTTTATTTATCAAATGCTGTTTAATTTTTTAATGTTATTAGTCTTACTTATTTTTTTCCTAACATAATGCATGTGGGTGATAAAGGCAAAGGAAAGCTGACTGCAGCATAGTTCACCTCTATCCAGATCCTAGGTAGGGAT